TTATTATTATTATTATTATTATTATTATTATTATTATTATTATTATTATTATTATTATTATTATTAAAATCATCGTTATCATCGTCGTCATCATCATCATCATAATCACAATCATCGAATATAATTTTTATATATTATTATTATTATTATTATTATTATACATTATAAATCCGTCTTCGTCATTCGCATGTTTCAAATAATTAAATCTAATGAAAAAAAAAAAGGAAAAACCAGAAGAAATGCAAATCAATTGAAAAAAAAAAAAAGGCAACTTTGATTACACTTATTCCAAATCTCGTGCAAAAGACTATGAGACGGATGCCGTGTTAATTGTTGGCAAAGAATAGAAGAAAAAATTGTTAAAAAGTTTCCCCTTGTAAAAAAAATAAGAAAAGAAAAAAAGAAAATAATGGAAAGGCAAGTGACTCCACGTGATGATCAATGTCCGTGAAAATTTCACGCTTTCGGTAGTTTTCAAAGATGCAGCTTAAAGTTTAGGCGAATACCTACTCTCTATTATGTAGTATATAATATATATATATACATTATAATTTTATGATTAAAAAAAAACCGGTCAAGATTATTAATAAATAATAAGAAAGATCGAAAAATTCAACCTAAAATGATAAAGGACCATTATCTTATTCATGCTATTAGGCGATGTTTAAAAATCGATTATTAGATTTATCGTATGGAGTAGTCGTCAATCGATTTTACGCTTCACACTGCTAAATCATGATGAGAGTCACACATTTTATCTATAATGATCAAACATTTCAGATGCGAACGATTAAACGATGAGGAAATAAAATTAAAAATAAAAAAAATAAATAATAATAGTAATATAAATCAATTGTAATTAACTCAAAAGTGCAAAAATATACAACACATTTAACGTTAATTAACATCGATATCGATTTATTTCTTATACATATTCCCTAGTTTTTAAGTAGAAAGTTTCGTAGGGAAAATATTTTCATAATATGTTCCAGAGAGTGTTATATACGTGTATATATATATATATATATACATATATACTATGACAACATTTTCTTGAATAACGTACATACATATATGTATATATATATATATATATATGTATGTATGTATGTATGTTATATACACGCGATATCGATAAGAAAGTTCGTATGCACGGTGGTGGTAATGGCTTAAAGTGAACCATCAAGAGTTCCGCGAATTATTAATCGAACATTAGAACGTTTATACTACGTTTCGTCAAACATTTAATGTTTCTACGTGGATTCCCGTACCCCTCGTTCCCCGATCGTAATTAATTATTCTATCATTTTGAAAAGATAAATGATAACAACAAAAAGAATCACTGCCGAAACGAAATAATAATAATAATAATAATATTTCTTATCGCGCCTGACTTAAACAACAAAAGTTAACAATAAGATAAATCAATGCGAACACACGTCACGGATATTTATTCTTTTTTTGTCTGTCTGCACGCTAAATAATGATCGTAAATTTTGTCTAGACCGAAATAAAAACAAATTAAAAATCCAAAACAAAATAATAAACGTATATAAGTATACCTAATTTATATATTAAAACAAAAAAAAATAATAAAAAAGAAAGAAAAGAAAACAATAATAATAAAAATATAACAAATTCAATATGAAAATCGATAGTCGCGATTTTAATGAAAAATGCAGCCACGACTCGACGTGATACCTATACAAATAACTATACATATTTATATGTATATAATAAACTGAAAAAAGTCAACGTCAAAATTCGTTGAAACGGATAACGCGAATAATCGCATATCGATATTCAAGTGAAAAGAGCAACGTATGATTTTTTCAACGTATATATGCATACATAAATATATATATGTATATATACATATATTTATGGACATATATTAACGAGTCAAAAACGATCGTCCTCCAATAGGTGCTCTCTTTCACCAATACGAAATGCGTATTAACGAGAACGAAAAATTCACCATGTGAGAACGGATATACTAGGCAATATGAAAATTCAATGATCGTAAACCCAGCCCTTTCATATACATATATAATATTTTTATACGACAATAAAGCAGCTCTACTTGCATTATTCCATAAGTGTTATGAAAGAGAAATAACTCATTGTCAGATTAAATGATGATGGAAAATGATGAACTTACTAATCGATAAAATTAATAACATTTTCTTATCTGTAAAGAGAAGAAACAAAAACATAACTTCAAATGAACGCATAAAATAATACACACGATTTGCTTACGTATTTCTAATCTACGTTTTATCTATTACACGATATACTAAAATGGTATTATAGATTTGTTTTGAAACTTTTCGAATGTTTACATATAATATGCACACACACACAAGTAAGTACATGTTTATGTCATTTTTTCCCAATTTCTTTGAAGCATATAATTATAATTGAAATCGTGTAACCCGTCAAAGAGGAACGGTTGCTTTATAGCTTTACTATTCGGGGATAGAAGAGGGCTACTTTATTATCTATATAGGTTAACCCAAAAATTCCTTTGACCAACTGAAAAATTGTACGATATTTTTGTTTCGAGAGTTGTGTGTCAAAGTCGCGTTAAAGTTCCGTTAGAGTTTTTCTTTTCTCGGTAAAGTGATTTTTGGAACACCTTGTATTGTTAAAAGACAGATAATATTTATTTAACGTAAATTATAAGTTTTGTCTCCTTTTGTTTTATATATAAATAAGTTCAATATAAATATAGGTGATAAAAAAGAACTCATCTTTAAAAAAAATCTATCACATAAATTCGTAATGACATCATTCTTTATCAAAATCTACTAATCAAAATTGTGAATTCTTGAAAAAAGAAAAACATTTCTTTATTTTTCTGTCACACAATCGATCGATTTAAACTTATTGGGGTTATCCTCCTAATAAGGAAAATTACTCGAGATTATATATCTGTTAACTGATTTCTTATGTACTCGTTTAGAAAAATTTACACACACACACACACAAATATATATAATAATATTTATTCATATCTATATAATTTTCGTTTTTATGCGACTACAACAATACGCTATTAAAAATAATTAAAACTTAACGATCTATTTAAAAAATAATATATACACATATATAAATAAATAGTTTAATTAAATATAAAATCCCTAAACTGTAAAAAAACAGAAAACACACAAATATACGATATCAAACGTTCATATAGATACAATAAAATATCAAATTAACTCATGACGTAATCTGGTAATTGGCTAAAAGTAGAAAATGTGCTTAATTATTTGTCTAACTGTAAAATTGCGAATAAAATAATATATATAATATTATACTCGTTTATATAAACACAATAAAATCATAGGTAAGAAAAAGGAAGCGTATATGAAAGAAAGAATCCGTTTATAGATTAAGAAAAAAAAATAAAATTTATCTATTAGTACGTACCAATAGGATCTCACGTTTAAACGTTTTCCGATAGATATAATTGTCAAAAATCATTTGGTGGGGAGAACTCAAGCTTTGGCTAAGCACAACGACCAATTTCGTTTTCATTAACGTTTCTGGCTTGCTGAAAATAACGTCGATATCAAAGATTTCTTTTTTGTCCCCCCCCCCGCCCGTTTCTTTCTCTTCTTTTATTTTTGTCAATCTAATTGATGTAACATTTATAACGCGTTCTTGAAATATGTAATAACGGTTTTTATTTACTGACAAGTGATTAGGTGATGAAATAATTTAATAATGGAAATTGTTCGGCATTTTAAAGTAAAAATTATTGATAAATAATTTTTAAACTGTCTTAATCTCAAAAAAAAATATCATTTTGGGTAATTTTCAAGGTAAGTGAAATCATTATTTGTATCTTATTTTATTAATATATGTTTTAATATACGTTATCGAGAAATGTGTATTAACTGAATTATTGTCATCTTTGGAGAAAGAAAAATATTTTTTTATAAAGCTATTATCGCATGACATCGTACTCGATTGAGAATAGAAAGAGAGAGGGAGAGAGAGAGAAGAATCGTTTGAACTCGCGTCAAAACGACTTAGGAAGAATGCCAAGATCGAGAATGCCAAGGAAACTTCATCTTAACAAGCGTGTCATCTTATGCTTGCTTTTTTACTACCATTTATTGCTCCTAACTCTCTTTCTACTCTAAATTGAACAACCTTTTACTGACAATATTATTTTAATTATAATTGAATGAAAGAAAAATAGAAATACACTAATAATTTATATACATTATTCATTCCTTGATGTTTTCTTATATATTTGTTAATATATGAATGCAAGACTATTATAATAATAATAATAATAATAATAATAATAATAATAATCGTATAGAATAAAAAAATAGAATCTTTTTAAAATGTTCATAATTTAGATACATAAATTATTCCTTGATATATCATTATTAGTTATTAATTACAATACTTATTAATACATCATTGTTTTATATAGCTTTAAATAATCTGATCAATTCATATCATATTTTGTTGTAACAAATATATTCATAACTTTGTAATATCATTGAAAACACGATAAAGTAATAATACCGTTAACGATACGATTATGGATTGAGTAACTGATAAAATTTTTTCCCCAACCTGATATTCTTGATTTTTTAACACGTATACTTTTAAACTTGTGTATAGAGTTACGAAACTACTAAAATATTTTAAAAATAAATTCTAGCTATAAACAGCTTCAAATGTTTTTTTAACGATACTCGTGGGAATCTTTTTAGATCTATGTTAAAAAAATACCAAATTAATTCGCTTGACTTTTACCATAACAATTTGATCACAGCGCGTTTATCATTATATAAATTTATTTATTGGGAAAAATTTAATATTGCATATCTTCCATTTATTTTTTCAAGCATTCAAATATTTTCAACAATTTCGAGTTTTCAATAAAAATACATCTCGATGTATAAATATTTACATGTACGTAAGTATATTCATTTCGTCGAAAAAAAGAAGCTCTAATGTCGAAAAAAGAAAAAAAAACAAAACACATTTTTCATGTTGCAGGCAGATTACAAGGCAATCCATCGATGATTAAAACTCAAACATCGGAACAATAACGTCCGATAAAATAGTTGATAATCCGTATATGTAAAACAAGCAAAAAAAACAAAAGCTACACTATACGGACGAATTTCATATCAATCCTATAACAAATCGCGATTATGGCGGAGTCAATGTGCACGATGTTACGTTTGATTTTGCTCTTGGGAATTTTAACAAGAGGAATAAAATCTGTTGATCTACCGAATAAAGAATGGTGGGAAACAACACTCGTATATCAAATCTGGCCAAGAGGATTTCAAGATAGCAATGGCGATGGTGAAGGTGATTTGAAAGGTACGTTATTTATTTAATACACGTAATCAATTTACGTATATCCCTTTTTCTACATTTGAATAAATCCTTTCGTTTTTATGTTTACAAATTTAAAAAAATTAACTACACCCTAAATATATAAATCGATTATAAAAAAAATTTTAATAAATCTTTTTTTCACCGTACTGGAAAACTTTTATACTAAAGAAACTTCGAATAGTAGAATAGTAATAACGTTCTTTTGAAATTTACTGCATTTAAAACAAAACAAAAAACACATAATTAACTTAATTTCAAATGTAATCTTATTATCAAAGATACATATCAACTGTGGTAATTAATTCGATACCTTGATATCAAATTCATTGTATCAAAACCGACATCTTGGTTTGAAAAATGGATCAAAGTAATCGAAAATAATGGAGACTATTTCGAGTAATAACGGGGATGTATGATTATTTTATAAATAAATAATAAATTTTTTTAAAAGACACCGAGAATATCAATTGCTACACCTAATGAATCTATGTATTTTACATATGATCAATTTTTTATCGACAGAATAAATGACCGATTTCAGCGCCTCTATTTATCATCTTAATAATGCGCTCTATATTATCGACAGAGGAAACTTTTTTATAATCTATATTCTATCAAAAAGTCAACGACTTTATTTAAAAAACGTACTGATTATTATATATACCTATATCATTAAATCTAAACGTAATTAAATAGTTCGATAACATTTATATTAATAAAAATAATTAATAGTAATATTTATAAGATAAATATTGTCGTTTATTCAATTCTTTCTATACGAGCTTACTAATAATTAAAACGCTTCATAACTATAATTATTGTCGATATTATATGAACAATTCTTACGAGAGAAAGATGTTATTATCATAAATTTGATTCATAAACTAAAAAATTGAAAAAAAAAATTTCTCAAATATAATTCTATATATATTAAAATCTATTGTATTCTTGACCAATAAGATACATGCAATAAAAAAGTTATACTTTTGTTTTTTAATAAACTTAAAGAAAGTTAGACGCGTTGTAAGATAATAAATGTTAATTTTTATAATTACCAATTTTAACAAAAACATACGCCTTTATCGATTTTATCTTACAAATTATACGGTAGCTTCAATAACTGATTTAATCATTGTCGGTCATATTGCATTCTCTTCCGCTTCGTTAACTTAGGTGCGAAATTTGAAAAATGTAACTAACTGTATTGTACTTGTATTAATCGAATTCCTATGTATACAAATTTCACATAAAACAAGTATGTATTAGAAATATATAATAATTATATTTATAAATGATGCACAACAACACATTTTCATGTTACAGGCATAATTAATAAGCTTGATTATATTAAAGAACTCGGAGTTGACACAATATGGCTTAATCCAATTTATGAATCTCCTTTGGTTGACAGTGGATATGATGTTTCTGATCATAAATATATAAATCCTTTATTTGGAAATCGTGAAGATTTTGATACGTTGGTAAAAAAAGCACATAACCTAGGTATTTCTATCTTATTTGATTATTCGTAACACGTACATGTCCATGATAAATCTCATCACATTTTTACTATGTAATAAACATTTGTAAACTTTGTTTTTCAGGAATAAAGGTTATTCTAGACATAATACCAAATCATTCTAGCATCGAACACCTATGGTTTCGTTTATCTGCGAGTAATCACGAGGATTACAATAATTACTATATTTGGTCAGATGGGAAAGTAGATGAGGAAGGTAACAGAATACCACCCAATAATTGGGTAAGTATAATTCAAAGGGATATTTGAAAATATTATTATAATATAAGAAACAAATAATACAAGATGATATTGTTTAACTAGGTAAGCACGTATAATAAAGATAAAAAAGGATCTGCATGGACTTGGCATAACATTAAAAACAAATGGTATTATCATAAATTTCATGAGAAACAACCAGATCTTAATTTACGAAATAAAAGCGTCATTGATGAATTACTGGTATGGTAAAAACATTCAAACAGCCATATAAATCTTATATTTGCTTTAAAAATAAATAGTAAATGATATTTTTCCATGTAACAGGATATTTTCGAATTCTGGTTAGGAAAAGGTGTCGATGGTTTTCATATAGATTCAGTACCATATTTCTTTGAAGATGAAGAATTACGAAATGAACCGTCTGTGGGGAGTGGTAATTATACTTTTGGACTCAAAGAAAGTACCGAGCTTCTTTATGTATTTCGTGCCTATATCAACAATTGGGTAGAAATAAATAATGCATCTTCAAAGTAAGTTTTATTCTTTGCTCGCTAAATTAATATCAAAATGATTTTATTGAAATGCAATCATATATTTATTTTTCAGATTGTTAATAGCAGAATCATATGATTCTGATTATAATCTTATTGCTTATTATGGTAATGCTACACACGAAGGAATTGAGCCTACTAATGTACGCTTCATCAATCCTATTCACAATAAAACAGATGCTAGTTATATTAAAAATGTAATAGACGAATGGTTTCAACTTCTACCAGAAAATGAAAGCACTAATTGGATGGTAAGAAAAAAATACATACATTGTAGAATGGTTAATTATTCCTGAGAAAATAAATCGTTTATACTGAATAAGTTTTTTATTATTGCAGTTAAGTAATCATGATTTCTCGAGAGTACCAACAAGGATTGGATTAAATCGAGTCGATGGACTTCATATGCTTAGTTTACTTCTGCCTGGACAAGCATATACATATTATGGCGAAGAAATAGCAATGTTAGATTCCAGAATTTCGTGGGATAGAACGATTGATCCAATGGGTTGCGGTCAAACATCAGACACATATGAAAATTTTTCCCGAGATCCAGCGAGAACACCCATGCAATGGAATAACAAATTATCTGCTGGTTTCTCTACAAATATAACTACATACCTTCCTGTGCATCCTGAGTATGCCATTAGAAATGTGGAATATCAAAAAGCGCAAAAACACAGCAACTTAAATACCTATAAAAAATTAGCTAAACTTAGAAAAGAACCAGTTTTTACTCACGGAGATTATGAACTTAAATCAACTAATAACAACAACGTACTTATTTTAAAACGGTTTGTATATTCGAAATTATTAATTATTATTATATTATTCATGACATGAATTCTGCTTTATTATACGTTTATATGCAGATCGTTGCAAGATCATCCTATATATATAATTATTGTGAACCTGTGGATTCATCGAGAACAAATAAATCTGACATCTTTATATCCAGATATAAATGACAATTTAGAAATTATAGTATATTCGAGCAACGCCATATATACTACGTGAGTATATATAAATACGAAAAACAGTATTTATTACCCGAATATTGAGATGTATAATGTTAATTTATTCTTTTAGAAATACTGTATCAAAAAGCAATTTTATGCTTACGGCAAATGCTGCTTTAGTATTAAGAGGAAAAGCCAATTCTAAAAGTACAACTTCACCTCCTACTTCCACTGTACCTACTATATCTACTAAAAGTACAACAGACAATACAGCTTCCAGTTCTACAGATACAACTATATCGAGTATTAAACCCAGCGATAAAACAACATCTTCTACGACTAATAAATCAGAAACGCCACAGACGGATAGTACAGAAAGCACGACTAAAAACCCAGGAAGCACAACAACAAATAGTACAATAAACACAACGACTGATAAATCAGGAACATCACCAACAGATAATACGAAAAGCACAACGACATCAGAAACGTCACAAACAAATAGTACAAGCACAACGACATCAAAAACACCACAAACAGATAGTACAAGCACAACGACACCAAAAACGCCACAAACAACTACAGACTCAAATAACTATTCAGAAGTAACCACCGCTTCTACGTTTCTCTTTATATTAGTTACAACATTGACTGTTATAATATTTCCCGAGTTTTTAATTATCTTATATAATAATATTTAATAAAATAAGAAATCACATATAAAATATATTACTTTATTATAATCCTAAAATTTAAAAACTGAATTTATACTTTATCAATAACGAAATATTCACATGTTTTCGAGATGTATCAAGATACGAGATGAATCATATCCAGTTAATAAAAACAAATTCAGCTGTGATTTATAAATTGACTTCATCAGATGACACATGCAAGAGTACTAGCAATAACGTAGATACAGTTGAAGGTATACGTTCGTTTAGAAGAGAACAAAACGAGTTTATCTTGCGTTAACGCAAAATTAAATAGTTTCCAAAATATTTTTTAAACTATATATAATCATTTTATATTAAGTCTTCTGACAATTTCAATAATAAGTGTGGTCAATTTGATTAAATTAGAATTTTATCAAAAAATGAATAACTTAAGTAATAAACTTGACTAATATATGAATACCTAATTTCATAAAAAAGCATTTAAAAAAATATTTCTGTCCTAAGGAACTATTTATAATGGATGCCTAAAGAGGTAAACATAAATGTTATTCGGAAACTTACGAAAGTGAACTATGGCATTTTGTATTATCTTATAACAATAATGCACTTAATACACATACAGGATTTCGGTCAATCTATAAAATGTGTTTCAGTGGAATATGTTTAGAGCACGGGAAGGGAGGATAAGTGATCTCAAGCTATTGTGAGTGAAACAAACTATAAAAATTTTAAAATATGCCCGCCCCCCTCCTAGCGCTCTAACACACAGCCAACTAAAGCACATTTTATAGATTGCCTGAATATGTATACATTATATGTATATATATACACACATACATACTCACAACATTATGTGTTTATATATACAGTCATTCTTAGCTGACAATGAGTGAATCCTAGCCAGCTATATATATATATATATATATATATTATCTCGTCGTATGTTTTATTAGTTCGTTACTGTTATCCTACGAAGAAACATCGAAACTAAAAATATAAAAGAATGGAACGCGATGAAAAGATTTGTTGCTATTCTTGCAAGAAGATTTACGACAGTATGAGTATAAACATAATCGAACAATCAAATTTAAAAGGTATGCCGATTGATCTTCTTTTATTTTTTAGTTAAATATGTTTATTTACATTTGTTATTTATTTTGCAATTATAATAGTATTTAGATATTTTATGAATGTAAAAATAAAATATATAAAAAAGAAAAAATAATAATAATGATAAGGAATTTCTTTCTTTCAGACTGTTACCACAATTACAACGTCACACCGTCTTGGATGAAAACACGATTATGTTTATTTTGGATGTTATGGGCTACTCTTATACTGGCTCTTATAACTTCTATTTTTATGTATTGCTATGTCTCATGGCAAACATGTCCTAATCCGATCAAAAATGTTCAATAAAATATGACGAATTTATTAAATTTATTTGTTAAAGTAATGCTTTTATAATTATCTGAGTAAAGAAAGCTGTAATCACGAAAAGTAATGATAACAAGATTTACAAATGATTTATAAAACACAAATATTATATAAAAAGAAAAAGAAAAATATATTTTAATATCATATGCATATATTACATAGATAATAATTTCCAATTTATTTTGTATATATAACAATCGAGAAAGATTATCTATTAATAATATAGCATTTAAGTGAAACTTAAGATAAATACCCAATAAACAAATATATCAGCGTCCCCAGTCAAGGATTTATTAATAGAAACCAAGAAATCAAGAATACAAAGTTCTTGCAGTGATGGACTTTCACTGTTACATTATAAGCATAGCAGGAAACATGATACTATAATAATAACAACAAAGCTAAATCCTTAATAAGTGTGATCGGATTAAATACAGGAACGGATCACGCGTTAATGTTATAACAGCTAGAAATATCTATAAATAAATACAGAAGTGTATAATAAAATTGTTTTAATTCAAATTGAAAAATACTAAAATTTGTTTTGGCAGATTTTCGGAATGGCCCATATTTTTTTAACAACATTGTAAGTGAAAATTCATATCTTCAAATAAAAAACAAAATGTAGTAATTTTGAGTAGATGGATTGAAAAGTTTTCAGCCTAATATAAAACCAATAGTTTTCACTTTACTCACGTATTAATAAATCAATATTTATTTCCTGGCTTGCTTCTTTTTTCTCTTTTGTAACATCCTGTAAATATACATATATAGAAAATTTTTTTATAATTTCTTTTATTAACTTCCTTTAATCTTAAGATGAATTTTTTTTTTCGATACAAAAACAAAGAATAAATAATTAAATCTCGCGCCTTATTATATCTGTTGAAGTAGTCGTTTCGATAAAAATCGATGTTTACCAAAAATAATGGTGTATGACATGCAAATTATGAAGTTAAACAAATTAACCGAAGTAAAGTACCGAATCTAGTCATTGTAAACCCCCGAGTCAATAAAATACAATAATATATTAAATCAGTAGATCCAAAACATTTGTTATTCTAAGCACCCTTGCTGAATCCATCAAAACGCCTTTAATAAAAATTTAACAAATTTACTTTGCAAGAAAGTTAAAAGTTTTTTTTTATTAAAGAATTGTCAAAACAAAAAAATAGAACGCATTTTATTAGTAGGGTTCTTGCGAACAATAATTAATACTAGCATAAATGAAAATAGAAATAAAATGATAAAAATTAAGTAATATTTTATGAAACCCTATGAAGACGCCATAGTTCCCAAGGATGCCTGGATTAAATTTATTTTTCATAAAAATGTTTTAATTTACGTCATAATAAATAATATAATTAATTATATTCTATTCAATATAACAAAATATAAATTTTGAATAACAAAAAAATACCAACGTAAATTAACTGACAGATAGAAAAGATTTCCACAAACTAGTATTTTTCGAATTTGAAAAAAATAACAACAATAAAAAAGCATACACGAAGAAAAAAAATATATTATACACCCCTGAAAAATTTCCCTCTTATCTCTCATAACGTGATCATATTTCGTACTGTTTTTTTGTTAATTTCAAGAAGTAGAAAGCGAAGGAATAAAAAGAATCGTTGAATTTTTAACGACAGGGAGTTGCGCAAAAGAATTATTCGATCTCATTCGAGGGCTGTCAGTGGATGCTGTTGGGTGGTGTTTAAGTTTAAGGTGAGTTACGAAAAATAATAGATTTTTTTTTCTTTATAAATCTATATTATACGTTTTATAATTTCTATCTTAAAAACAAAAAAGATAGCACGATCTCTAAAAATACATATAATATCATTGTCTCCATGTTTATATTAATAAATTCAATTATATTGTTAAAATTGTGTGTGTAGATTCGAATTAAGCTACGCTGGATAAGAAAGAGAAAAAAAGACAAAGGACAGAGATAGTTTGGGGTGAGTGTACAGAGTAAGCAAAGAATTCTATTACAAAATTAAAAGTTCTCTATGTGTTCTATGATATACATATATACATATATATTACGGCCTTGAGAAAATCGTATAGTGTAACTATGGAGAGTGGGAGACAGAATTTAGATAACGACGAAACGAAGCAATCGTCTCGACCGTCTTCAGTCGTTCCAACGTATAAATCTGAGACGGACGAGACTAATTTGGTTTCCTTTGATCAACAATTAAAGTCTAACGAACTTTTAAACATGGGAAAACAAAATGGGGGTGAGAGTGATCTCGATGACGGGACAAAGGAGAGAATGCTAACGGACGAGAGTACAATTTCGCCGACTAAGGATGCCACGGAGGTAATATTGGATGCCATATTTTTTCTTTTTTTGAGTGAGAAATTATTTTTTTTCGAGAGAGAAAAAAACAAGGCGACAAATTGTAACAGATTTGTAACCATTGTATCAAATTTATACACATTTTACATACATTTGTTGGTACAGATTTTTTTTCTGACAGATTTTATCAATTTGCAAATATTAGGAAGTTAAAAAATCAATATATATGCATTATTCGATAAAAGAAGTTAATCTTTTTTTTTCTTTTTTTGTATTTATACGATATTTTTCCTTTGTACTTCGAAGAAATTAGGATGAAATTTACGTAAGAAGTACATGGTTTTTCCGACATAATTGGCCGTTTACCATGACGTATTCACAATATGAATAAAATATATTACTCTTGTTTTAAAAAATAAATAAAATACAATAATTTCTTTTAAATACAAATATTTCATCTATTTGATTGGTTATGAGATATTGTACGGACTGAGAACTATAAAGATGTAAGTAAAAAAAAATCTCTGGATACCTTAAAATTTGTCTGATCCAATACATCGAGTGCAATTTTATTTTTAGAAATAATAAGTTTAAAATAAAAAAGAAAAAATACTTGATAGATGAAAGAATTATATGAAATTACGTCATGCTTTCGCTTAGTAACATAGATCTAAATCAAAAAATAATCATAATTAATTATTTTTGTCATCGTTAGATCCAGATAAAACTATCTTTCATTTATAGGTTAAATTTATATCAGAAAATGGAGATGCAAAAATCGATATTGAAACTCCTAAACAGACGCTTTCCGGAATGGGAAAAGAAGAGTTGATGAAATTTGCTAATGATCCATTTTGGGTTCGCCTACGATGGTTTTTATTTATTAGTTTTTGGGTATTATGGGTCTCTATGCTTGCTGGTGCTATAGCAATTATTATTGTAGCACCAAAGTGCGTATCACCTAAACCTAAACAATGGTGGGAAGAAAGTCCTATCGTTAAATTACAATTTTCTGATTCGCCTACTAAAGATTTAAAAGGTTTTAAATCGCTCTTGAATGAATTAAAGGAACAGCATATAAAAGCTATTTCTTTACCGCCGATAATGAAAGGAAGTTTACAAGGTATAAATAAAAAGAGTGATAATTGTGTTCGCTATTGATAATTATTTAAGAAAGATAGATGCTTATTTTTATTTCTATGTATTATTACTTATTTAGGGTATACGGATAATTTCATGGAATTAGATCCGCAACTAGGTGATTTAAATGATTTAGAAGATCTTATAAAAGCTGCAAAGGAAAGAGATCAGCATCTTATTTTGGAATTAGATCCTAACTATTCTTCCATGAACCACTCGTGGTTTGAACAATCTGTTATTAAAAAAGATCCCTACACGGACTACTATATTTGGGCCGATGGAAAAACTACTCCTGATGGTAGAAGACAACCACCTAATAATTGGGTATTTAATATTCTTATAATTATTAGAATACTATAGTTACCTGCAAGTCTTAAGTAAATTCATCCTTTCTATATGCATGTTTGTATGATTATTTATATATTTTTTGATTAAAAAGTATTTGTTGTTACATAAAATCTTTAGACTTATTATGTTAATTATTTTTAATATAGCTAAGCGTAAATGGAGGTTCTGCCTGGGAATGGAATGAACAAAGAGGCCAATATTATCTTCATCAGTTTAAAAAAGCTCAACCAGATTTGAATTTCTCTAGCCCAACGGTGATAGCAGAATTTGGAGTAAGTTATTTTTTATTTAATAATCTATCTTGCATGAATTTATTGATGGATTAACTTAAATTTATTTATTTTAATATTATTTTATTTCAGAATATTTTGAAATATTGGTTGAAATTGGGAATTAGTGGTTTCCGTTTGGCAAATACTCAATATCTGACAGAAGATCCTTCTTTACGGGATGAATCTCTTAGTTCCATACCGACTGAAGTTGATAATTATCAATCATTGATTCATGTATACACGCGAGATCGACCAGAAAATGCAGAAGTTTTAACAAAATGGCAAGAAATAGTTTACAATGAAACTAAAGGACAAGGGTAATTCATTTTACTATTTAAAAATATAAAGAAATATATTTTTTTTAGTATATAACATGAGTTCTTAATAAAATTTCCACAGTTTATTTGCGTTGCAAAATGACATTGGAGCAGATATTTTAGAAGTTTACAACGAGAAAAAAACATTAATTAGTCTTCCACAAAGTTCACAATTTCTGACTACAGCAAATGCTAGCATAAATGCAACTACTTTAAATAAAGGTATTTCACAGTGGATATCTATTTCATCTTGGCCTGGATGGGATGTAAGCATTATTAAAATAAACAAAAGTATCTAGTATATATATGTTTTCTCTGTAAATAAAATAATATTTATTGATTATAGCTAAATGGAGAACAATATAGTTTACGACAACGAATGGCACCAGATATAGCCGATAGCATAACTCTAATGTCTATGCTTTTACCAGGAACACCTATTCTTAGATTAAATGATACATTATCTGCCAAAAATGCATTTTCAATATTAGCTAAAGCTCGAACGAGTGCGACATTCCTTTACGGTGAAACTGATACTAGAGTCGTAAATGGAACTGTTTTTGTTTATACAAGGTAAGATCTTGTTAAATAATTATTTAGTATATCAGTATTTTAATCGTAATTTACTTAATATATAATAATCGTTAAATATTTGCTGATAAATTATTAACAAGTAGTAGGGAATATTAAACATAACTACTTGCTTAAAAAATTTACAAAGAATAGACCAATTGGTTTTATTCATATCCTAACATAACACAAATTGATCCATTTAAAGTTCAATTGTTATGTTCAAATTTAATCTTTACATTGATATTTGAGGTATATAATTGATAAATACTTTCATATATAAACTAACCAGAGATTAATTTACCTTTTTTCATGCTACCTTCTATGTGTCATAGGAGTTGGTGAGTTTACTAACATATTGCATGCATTTCTTTGCACGTAATTTCAAGTAGATCTTTTATTTAACATATGTAATTATAATTTATGTGGTTGCACTATAATAACGTGCGAGACTCGTGATAATTTATGACCCAAATATGAGAAATATAAATACTACTTGTGGTGAATTTTGCAAATTAAACATAAGCACCAAATCGAGTTAAATTATTGTGCAATGGATTATTAATAACATGCACGAGTTGATTAATGTTATCAATAGAATCAAATTCTTATATACACTAGTTTTATTTTTTATTTAACTTTTAGGCTAAAAAGTGGTAATCCAGGGTACCTAGTAGCATATCAAAGTGAAGAATATCCTAAGATTATAGATATATCATCTATACCTGGAATACCCGAAGAAGTGACTATGCTTGCATGTAGTCCTAATTATCCTCTAGAAGAAGTCTTGAAGTAAGTACATGAAATCTAGGATATTTAAAATTAGAACATTGTAAAATCTTACTAAATCTTACTAAATTATTCATTGATTTTTCAGTATAAAGTTACCTTCAAATATGATACCTATATTACCCAAAAGTACATTGATTTTAACTTTTGTTCCCAAGGATGATAACAATTAATGCTAAATAACAATAAATGCATTTAATACTCAATATTTATAATTAATGTAATTATTTTATGCAAGTGATTTGCTTGATGTTAATTACAATTACTATATCATTAAAAAGAGTGGCAAAGTATTAAAGAGTTGTATATTTCTTAAATATTATTTACAATTCCAAAAGAAATATTTATTATTACATATTGAGCCAATAAAATCAAGTATAATAGAACTTCTATTTTCATACATATTAGCATTTAAATAATATTAAATGCTAATTTAAATCATAAGCGAGAATAATGATAAATCTGTATCTAACAGAAAAGTTTGCTTTACAACTGATTATATGCAGTAATTCAATCTTATTAATTTATTTTTTCTTATGTACAAATTTTTTGATCAACAATAAACAATTTTAAATACTCAATAACATAATTTATATTAACAAGGAATAATCTTAAAAATGAACGGATTGGGAATTATCAATAAGGTTTTTTAAAACCTATCAAATAAAGGTTATNATATATATATATATGTATAAATTACTATAAACAAAATTGATATCAAATTCTAGAAAAATAGGTGACTTTGCTTAATGATATAGAATAATATATTTACACCTAAAATTGAAACTGTTTCACTTACTGGTCCAAGTTTAAATTTTTTATTGTATATCAAGTTTATGTGGATCGGTAAACCTTGCTGTTAAAATATAAAACAACGCAGGCAAAGGAACCAAGACAAGCATTGCAGGATGAAAATCAATACCACGTAATTTAGCAACAGCCACTACTCCATAACCATGTAACAACCAATGACCAATTATTACTATTGCATTTTTCACATCTGTTACTGAACTAAGTAATAGGGACTTCATGGTCTGAAAAAAAATAATAGATTAGTACTAATAAAATATATACGATATACAAAAGTAAATAAAAATCTATAAAATTATTTACCTGATTTAATTTGAAAGCAAAATGCGCTGCATTAGATAAGACTGACAAAATAATAGTAATATAAGGAAATGAGTAATCTGCAAAATAATATTACATAAATTTTAAGTATTTTATTAATTTCATAGAAATCTTTATGATTTATTCCTTATTTACATATGAGACCTCCTCCGACAGCATGTAAAAGTGCTAAAATGGGATAGAAATATAGGGCAGCGTATATTGAAAATTTTCCATGTTTAGGCAAGAATTTTTTTGCTATCATTGGCCTTATAATCAGCATAATAACTACACCAAGAGCATAGAAAACAAAAACCATGGTATATCTACAAAATAATAAAGTATTAATTAATTTATACATATATGTATATATAAATATTGTTTGATTAAAGAAATCTCATTGAAAAATAGAAATATGCAATTAGAATGTTACTAACAAAGGATATACTGCTTCTTGAGTACAGTGCAAAGTTGTTTCATAATTCGGACTAGGATTGTGTAATAGCGTATACCAGTCTGAAAGACGACGTGTTTTACAAGATCTTATATCAAATGTACCGATAGGATCAGTTAATTGTAAAGTAATGAGTGATGCACTCAAAACTTCAAATAATGCTGATAGATGCAATGCAATGACTTCTTTAGGTATGTTTCGTCTCATTGAAACTCCATCGATACAGAACCAATGTAAAACTAATGCTAGCAATGCCATGAATCCAAGATATAACCAATCATAGGCTATAGGTGTATCTTCACAAAGAATACAAGCGGAAGAACCATTTGTTCTAAATCCACGAGGACAAGCACCACAATCACTCCAATTTTCATTTGATAATAATTCTCTTCCGCAATAAATACCAGGACATCGTGTTAAAGTATTCATACTTAAAAAATTAACACATAGTTTTTATAAAAAGTTAATTCTACTTAGTTTTAAAATATACATATATGTATAACACAAATATTTAATATTTTTAAACAAATAATATTTATATATTGGTTCATATATATCTGTATCATTATTTGAATTCTTATAAAATCACATTATCATGTGTGCGTGTGTGTGTGTCAGCTTAAAAATATGAGTCAATATCAGCTAGTACTTATTTTAATTGATATTTTAATGTCACTGTAATATCATTAAAAATCTTTAAACTTCCTATAACCTTAAAATTGACAATACGAATTTATTATTTACTTTTAAAACCTATTAACCACGATACACATTACATGTACGTATGTATGTACATAATAATATATGGTTACACTTATAATGCACGCCATTGCGGACAGTTGATGGAAACATGTTCATATTTCAGTCGATAAAGTAGATTTTGATATAATAATTTAAGCACGAATTTTTTCTATATTGTTTATGTCAATGAAAAAATTGATTCCTCAAAGTGCGGGAAAATTATTATGAGTAACGTTTTGCTACTACTTTCCAAACTTTAACTGTGTGTGTTAATGATAACTATAGCTTCGTTATGATAACAATGATTTGATATTTTTTTTAAAATGTTTTATTTTATAACAGAAAATATCCAAGATGGAGATTACGTGGACAAATACTCGTAAAAGTTTAAAAAATTTTGCAAGTACATTCATGTGTGGAAAGTGGTAATTTCTGTTAATCAAATTTAATTTTTTTTATTTACAAAATAATTACAATATTAACATAATTCTTTTTCTTTATTATTTTTGTTTATTTTATTTATAGTGGAAACAAACCGATAACTCCAGTTAGATATACCAGTTGTGGAGATTTTTTCTGTTCAAACTGTGCAAGAAGCAATGATGGTAAATGTTATTTATGTGGTGTACCAGTTAGACCAAATGAAATACTTACTGATCATACAATATTAAATCTTATACGTGATTGTGATATTATTGCAAATGTAATAAAAGAAGAGTAAGGTTTATTAATGTATTATAAGAAATAAGAAATAATACATATATATTTGTTTATATCGATATTAAATATTACATTATTTGTTTATGTATAACATTAACAGCAATTTGTGGGATGTGAAAGTTAACAACAAAAATATATCGCTAAGAAATAATGCATTACCGAATAATTCCCATACCAATAATACTGACAATAAAATTACCAATTATCAATTACCACAAAGTGTTGCCAAAAATATAAATAAACGCAATCCGAAGGGTGAAACTTCTTTACATGCAGCTTGCATAAAGGTATATTTATTTATTTATTAATAGTTATTCTTCTCAGAAGGCTTAAAAATTAATACAAAAAATTAAAACAAAAAAATGTTTGTTTTAATAAATTTGCATAAAATAAATTTTATTCTTTTACAGGGACAGAAAGAAATAGTGGAATCTCTGCTTAATGCTGGTGCAAATCCAAATACAAAGGATAACGCTAACTGGTCACCATTGGTAAATTAACATAGTTTTATTCGTTCTCAAATGCAATTGTAACAATTATTCTGTTTATTGATTTATTTTAATTCTTTCCACAGCAAGAATGTATTAATTTAGGTTTTTATGAAATATCTAAGTTACTCTTAAAAGCTGGTGCATATCCTAATATACCAGGTATTGATAATAGGACACCTTTACATGAAGCGGTTTTAAATGATAGAATAAGAGAAGCAAAATTATTACTTGGATATCATGCTAATAAGAATGTTTACGATCAGTATGGTAAAAAACCTATGTATGTATTTATTTATCATAAATACCATATTTAACATTTAAGAATTTGACTTTTACCAATTTAATAAAATGTTATACATTTTATCAGAGATTATTGTATCTCTAAAGAAATGCAGCAAGTTTTATCAGACGGAGACTTATTTTCTAATAATGCAGAAAGTGAATATGATTTAAATTGCACTCTGAATCAGACATTATGCCAAACCAATTTGACTGTATATTTATCAAATTTAAATGAAGCAAGCAAAAAATTATTTGAGAAAGCTGCCTTGAAACATAAAATAAAATCTCTACCTACCTTTAAGTACGTATAAATTAGAATAATACACAACCTTATATTTTCTAATATATATATATATATATTTATATATATAAGTAATATTTTAATTTAATATTTTAGATCAAGTGTAACTCATGTAATAGTGGAAGCGAACAATAAAAATATTACTAATCTCACTTATGATGTTATGCTTGCTATACTCAATGGCAAATGGTTACTGACTAGCGAATGTAAGATTTCTATATTCTAAATATTTATTTATATACTTTTATATATTCTTTTTTTATAGGGATTTCAATGTGTTTAGAATTGGAAGATGTACATCAAATGGAATTAGAATTATTTGAAGTCAGTGGTTGTCCTATTTTGGGAATACCTAAGCGAGCAAGACAAAACCAAGAACAACAAGTACATTACATAAAAATATTTCTTTATTATTTATTTATTTAATAATAGCAAAATATACCTAAAATTAGGTATATTAGGCGCGCTGTACTAATCATTAATAATTATATAAAAATATTATTATTTTTCAGAATCCACGATTATTCAATCGATGTTTCTTTTATCTTGCTTTACAAGTTGACGTCGTTTATTGTATTGGTGATGTTCATTTAACGAAAAAAGAAATAACGGAGCTAATAAATGCTGGTGATGGAACTGTTCTTATCAGAGAACCAAATCCAGAAGATATAAAAGACAAGGAGCAATGTATTCCGTTTCATGTTGCTTGTAATCCTCGTCATCCTTTATTCAAGTGTACGCACTACATTATATATGCTCCTGGTAATGACGAACCACGTATTAAGTACAACATGTCTCACATAAAAAGTCTTCCTCTGATATGGCTAATTGAATGTATAGAAAAGTTTACTTTACTTAATCCCTCATATATAGGTTTATAATATAATAATTCTATTTTATAATTTATTCAGTCATCGGTGTTTATTATTTAGTCTATTTCTTCGTCAATAAAATTTTTTCCACGATTTGTCATTACATATGTATGTTCTGAGTGTTTAAAACTATTACCATTTTTATCAAATACTTTGGAAGTGTTTCTTTATCTCCTCTTTGTTGTTAGTATTCTTCATTCATATTGATATCATCATTGTGATGAAAATTTTTCGTAATTAATTATTTTGTTTTATATATTTATTATATTAAAAAAAAATATATACTTTTATTTATATTATTATACTTCTTGGATAGAGAGAAAGAAATAATAAAAGTACAAAATAGTAAGTAATAATTGATTACGTCTTTTAGCATATACGTTAATAACACCACCCTTATATGTACAATAAGATATAGGGTACAATTCACCCCTATTTCCCCCTTCTTCCGGCCTCTAATACATATGCAACTTATAGTAAATATGCAGCTTGCATAGGCAACGATAATTGTGAAGAAAAATATCGTACGGTATTATGTTGGTACGTTTACGGATAAAGTACCGTTAGTTGTGTACATGTGTATTATACGTATTACACATTATGTGAATTGTATTATATGTATCTATATATATACAAGACGCGAGTCTTACACACAGTTGGACGAAGTAAAAGAATTGGAAGCGGATAGGTAGGGACGAATCTGATGACCGAGAAGCAAAAAAGTAGCGATAAAGAAGATAAAAGAATGGGGAAGAAAAAAAATAGTGAAAGAGATTGAGTACCAATGAAATTACATGTTATGAAAAAGAAAGAAACATTCGTTCGTAAACGTATAGTATGGTATCTCAAAGAACATAGTAGTAAGGCCAAGAGAGAAAGGTCTTTGCCGCACACTCGTAAGACTATCCGCATTGCGCGCGATAGGATTTAAATGAATATTTATGTGTATATATATTATATACAGGGTGTTCCAAAAATCGCTTTACCGAGAAAAGAAAAGAAAAACAAAATATCTCAATATTGATTTAATTGATAGAATAATAATATTTTTATGCTTTTTTTTTTTTATTTAATGGTACAAATTTCCGATTAAAGTGTTACGGTAAAAAAAAGTACAAATTGGCGATGATGTCACTCTATAAATAGCTACTAAACAAAATTTATAATTTTTCGGCTCGGTAAATCGACTTTTGATATATTCTGTATATATATATATATATATATGTTGGGAAGAACTCAATGAAATATATATACTTTTTGTCAGTCAATATGATTGTTTTAAATTAAAATTACAATGTATTCCGAAAATGTTGACAGACAGAGTATGTATATACATTTTATTGGACTATATATATATATATATATATATATTATACGTATTTTTTTACAATATATATACTTGCATCGTTTAAAATAAATTATTTAAAAAGTATAAGAACTATTCTTTTTTTCTCTCTTTATAGATTTTTGAAGAGAAAAAAAAAGTAGAAAAAATAGGAGTGTAATAGATCGAGGAAGTAGAACAAGAAAAGAAATGAGATAGGCGTTATAAAATGATTGACCATTTAGAGAAGTCAATAAAAATAGATTAAAGATGTAGGAACATCAGAGATATCCCCTGTCATCAACCCTCCTCTCTCTCTTTCTTTCTCTTTTCATAATCTCTCTTTCTTCTTCGTTCTTCGTTCTTCGTTGACCTTCTTCTCTCCGTAAAGGTTTCCTTATCCCCACCTTTCCTTTTTCCGAATACTACTCCTTGAGGCCGGTCAGAGGAGAGGAGGCATCGTCCTTCTCATGTACTGTACCAAAGACGACGGGTGGCATTAGGAGTAAGAAAGAGAGATAGTTCGCACCCTGACCCACAAGTGGGTATCGCTTTTCTTTCACTTCAATCAGTCAGTCAGTCAGTCAGTCAGTTAGTCGATCGGACACCGACGGTAAAGTGACGGATTCTACTTTCCGCGTTGTTAAAATTTTTTACTAATAATTATCATCGAATTATACGTGATGAAATTCGTGTTCTTTTTCAACGTACGCGTGATACATTCGTCGGAAGGATAGTGTGTATTTGAAAGAAAAAACAACAAAGTATAAACATTTTTTTCTTTTGCCCCCTCTCTCCCCTCGCCCCCGCCTTCGCTATCGCAATTTTGTACGTTCTCCCAGAATCAAGGAAGAAGAGGATTTTATATATTTTAACGATAAGAATAAATTTGTAGAGAGAAATAAACAGAGAGATTTACAAGAAGGTATAGAAAAAGAAAGAAAGAAAGAAAGAAAGAAAGAAAGAAAGAAAGAAAGAAAGAAGAAGAAGAAGAAATATTCAAAGATGATACTAAGAGCAGCCCTAAGGGGGGGCATCGTCCTTTTCCTTCTACTCATCGGAAGATCGGTCGATGCCCAAGACGATGACTCTTTAGCCGGCAGCTTCTTATCGGGTAAATATATTCATGTTTAATACATTTTTCCTCTTCCCCTCTTACGTTATATATTATTATAAATTTTAGATTAAAGATCTTCGTCAAATTGTAAACTCATATACCGAAACGTGTCATATCCGATCCCATTTTTACGAGCAGGAAAAGAAAGCGATTTGTAAGAAATCCGGAACGAGTAGAAATCTTTTTATCTAAAAACGTATACTTACATACACATACATACATACATACATACGTACACACACACACACACATATATATATATATAAAACAGACACACACATTCAAAATATCATGGTAACGTTAAGTATTTATAGAGTGTATTTAGAGTGTATCCTATGTAAAAGATGACTCTAATTGTAAGATGATCGAGAAAATAAAGAAAGCGAGTACCTGTAAGATATATACATATATACTTATATGCGTGTAAGTACGAGTCGAGGTTTCGAGAAATAGAAATTCGCATACGCGCGCGCGAGTATGCGGCGCACGCTTTTATAGGTAGAATCTGGAAGGATGCGACTGTCCCACTTAGGATCGTTATAGCGTGCTATGCGGATAACGTTCGGATTCGTTGGCGGGTATGAAGACTGCCTGCCAAATGGAAAAAGTAGTATACGTGGACACAATTATTTTCTAACGTGATAACGTATATATTATAAATAATAAAACGAATGTTAATTAATCCCAAAAAAATATTGATTTAAGTATCATCAACGTTATGAATGATAATAATCAATGATATTTATTATAATATATAATCGATATATTACCATAACGGTTTATAAATTATACCCCGTTTTTATTGATTGATTTGTTCCTTTTTTTGTTCCATTATTATCATGAAATAAAAAGAAGTAGTATAAAATTGAAATAAAGTGTACGCGATAAAATGAAATTCGTGAGATTTAGGAAATTAAACGAAGATCGGTACGACACGATAGATTGTTCGAATTATTGGTTAATGATTGAATATTTGATTAAGTATTTTCTACGTCATAGTTAAGTTCGAAAAAAACTATTACGTTATTAGATACGGAAGGATAGGAGGAGGAAGAGGCACGTGTGTAAGAGCCGTCGTCTTTGGCTACATGCGACGAGTTGAGGTGCTCGTTAACAACCGTTATGTTTGTTTGGGCCGTTATGCCTGCCAAAGTGAAACCAACTGGCTTTCCTCGATACGTTGCATGCGAATATCACGGATACTACTAACCGTTTTTTTCCTCCCGTCCTCGTACAGCTAAACGCCCTCCTCGAGCCTTTTTTCTTCTCTGACTTTCTTAGATTTTTTGTATTTTTCCTTGTTGTTGTTGTCTTTCGAAAAGATCGAATACGTAAGAAAAGTTATTTGGAAATTTATAGGAAATAGAAAAGAAAATCATAAACTTTTCCTGGTCACGTTAAATAACAGTATAGTTTATACGAGTTGACCGGAAGTTCCCTTGTTGCTCCTATCGCTTAACGGATCACACGAGTTCCTCTTCTTGCTTGGGTAGCATTAAACTACGACATTCCATTCTCTCTCTCTCTCTATATATATATATTGTAGAATGTATAGATTTACATTTATATATTTCCAAGCGAACGATTAAAATTTGAACGAAATGTATTTAGATGTTAAATTATTTCTATGTTAGGGAGAATGATCGGTAAAATATTTTGATAAATAAATTCCCAACAACGGGGTCGTTAACTTCTTCCTACGATACCTAATGTCAAGATCAAGTTCAGTCATCCTTGACCACTTTGTAAGCCGATCGTAGAATTACGTATGCAGGAATTTCTTCGCAGCCTATGGTGTTCAGACAGCTGCACCCGATATACAGTTACCTTTAACGTTGAGATTTAGGATAAGGGAAATGTACACGGTTACTACTAAATAACATTGATAATTTTTACCTTTTCGTTATATTATCGGAGAGAGATAAATGTTATTTTCTTTTTTAAAATGTGATTCCATATTTAAAACAACTTAGGTCTCTTGGATTCTATAACAAGCACGGCTAAAAGTGCGGATTGTCCTGGCGTTTGCGTGCACGCACTTGCAACGTTGATGTGCGATGAAGTATTAGAGGATGTTCAATGTCCAACAAGTAGCATGCGATGCTGTGTCATTGAGCCAGTTAATTCTTCCTCATCATCTTCCGATGAAAATTTCGTCGAACAAACTACTACGACTCCTGTCGTATTGTCGAGCACAACCCCGTCTACGACAACGACGACGACGACGACGACTATGACGACAACGACTACGACAACAACACCGGCAACTACTACGACAACGATGAAAGCGACTACTACTACGGCTTCTACTACTGCGAATAAAGTGAGTTTATTGATACCGATATCGATGTTAACGATATTCGATCAAACTTAATTACCTAATAAATTCAGATAACTGAATCATTTTTTAGCAAAACGGGCCGGCAGATAAATCTCAAGGTACGTTAAATCGAATGTTTGTTTAAATAAAAGGAAAATGGGAATTGAAAAACGTTTCTCATACAATTATCGTGTAATTAACAGGACAAATGTGTTCGGGAATATGTATGCCGGAAAGAATAGCCGATTATTGCGATGCCATACTTGTCATAGATTCTTTATGCAAATTGGGACACAAATGTTGCGTCACGAGAGACGCCTTTGGTGATTCTCCACCTGCAGAATTATTGGTTATCGATCGTACTAATTCCAGTCGAAACAATACGTCTAACAAAAGTAGTATACTTTCTCAAACGAGTACAAGACCTGGTATTCACTCGACGAATCCATCAATGGCCACGACCACGACAACAAGTACTACATGGACGTCGACTAAACGACCGTCAACGGCTATTGCAACAACGACGAGTACGACGACGATGCAAACAAGACCAAAACCTACTTTGAGAAAACCGTGCAAAGGCGAATGTACCAGCGGCCTATATGCTCTATTCTGTGATAACATTGATACCGAAGCTGATTGTCCAGGAGATGGATCTTGTTGTATCACTGAATTACCTGTAAAAGAGGTATATAAATTTAGAAAAGATTTTATTTGACCCACTCATTTTCATAATCGATTAATTCCACTTATAGTTATATAAATTATCCTATTATTTATCAATAATAAATCTAATTACAATTGTTACCCTTTCATAATATTAAGCCTAATTATTTGAAACGTTTATTTAAAAAAAAAAAAGTGAAGTTAATTGTTTTGTTAATTATTTTAGAAACAAAAAAAGGATAAGTTTTATATAAGATTTATATTTAGGAAGTAACAACAACCGTCCGTCCAACTACAACAAGGCCTTCACCTCCTCAACCTAAATTACAACCTTGCCCTGGCTTCTGCTTGCTGACAATCATGGCAGCATTCTGTGAACGACCAAACTTGATTATCGCTAAAACGTCAACATGTCAATCTGGATCGATCTGCTGTGACAACACGAAAAGTCCGCCGCAGGTGATTCTATTTCTTTTTTACGGTAAACCCCTCCTCCCCAAAGGAAGATAAGAGTCGAGGCAAGTAAAGATTTCGGAAAAATGTAATATGAATCGAGCGTTAAATAGATAACACGATCTTTTCAAAAAGGAGACTCATCGACCGACTTCTTCCAAATTAGACTCCAAGACCACGACCGAGACCTACCACGAGACCAACAACCACCATTACTTTACCACCTGATCCACGTCCAGAGTGTCCTGGTTCTTGCATCGTATCTTACTTATCCTTCACTTGCTTTAGTAAGTAAATATCATCTTCTACCATTGTCTCTTATTAAGAGAAAGAAAAAAGAAAAAAAGAAATCTATATTTTCCTTTCATCAATTGATTCATAGGAAATGCGGAATTAACGAGTTTGTTCAAGTGCAAGAAACAGGGACATCAATGTTGCGCACCGAAATCATTAATCAGAGAACTTCACGGTGGTAATAGCAGTGAACCGATTTTGACTAACAGGAATGATACTTACAGCAATATCGTTACGGTTAGACCACATACAACAACCTTGGCTCCGACAATTTGTAAGCTATTATATTTTGCAGAAAGAATTTTTTCTTTCTTTTTCTTTTTTCTAATGTTCTCTCGAAAACTTTTTTTCCAAAAATCCTTCGGCAGATGAAACGACAACGATGGCGATGACAACGACTACGAAGAGTCCGGTGTACAATAAATATGTATGCGGTGTAAAAGGAACTTCTCGTGGGCCGATTCAAGCTCGTAGCTTCGAAAGGAATGCTCGTGTAGTTGGTGGAGAAGATGCAGATGCCAACGAATGGTGTTGGCAAGTTGCTCTTATTAACTCTCTCAATCAGTACCTTTGTGGTGGTGCTCTTATCGGTACTCAATGGGTACTCACAGCAGCGCATTGTGTCACAAAGTAAGTAGAAATATTTTTATATAAATTCTTCTATATTGTGGACTGGTCAATAAATAATGCCTAAATTTTTTACATAGAAATAAACAATATTGTATGAAATATATTTCATTGATAATATCGGCATTATTTTTATTGATCAACCTAATATTTGTGTGATCGGTACATATAATTATATTACAATTATATTTATATCATATAAATTGTGCGAATTTTTTGATTTAATCCACTGTCATAATTACTGGAATGTGTATAATATTTCCACATTCCATGAGAATAATGAAAATAAATGATATTTACAGTATCGTGAGATCGGGTGATGCGATTTACGTAAGAGTTGGAGATCATGATTTAACTCGCAAGTATGGTAGTCCAGGTGCGCAAACGTTAAGAGTCGCTACGACTTACATTCATCACAATCATAATAGTCAGACTTTAGATAACGATATAGCTCTTCTTAAATTATACGGTCAAGCGGAATTAAAAGACGGAGTTTGTCTAGTTTGTTTACCTGCTAGAGGAGTTAGTCATACAGCTGGTAAAAGATGTACGGTTACTGGTTACGGATACATGGGTGAAGGTAAAAACCTAAATATCTATTATGATATTCCGTTACTTTCTCTTGCAACATCGTATCTTTGCTTTTACAGCTGGCCCCATACCTCTACGAGTACGTGAAGCAGAAATACCGATCGTTAGCGACGCCGAATGCATTAGAAAAGTAAACGCTGTGACGGAAAAAATCTTCATACTTCCAGCTAGTAGTTTTTGTGCCGGTGGAGAACAGGGTAATGACGCGTGTCAGGTATGTACACTGTTAAAATTATAATTGAAATTTACAATAACAATATATATATATGTATATATAATGTTCAAAACAATTGAAGGATCACTACTGTGTGAACTGATTTTATTCTAACAGCAACCAAGTGGATGGAACAAAAGAAACAAAAGAATAAATTTATCCAGAAAATTGAATTTAATTTTTCATCTCATTATTGTACACACACATTTAAATATTAGAAATTGTATGCCATTTCATTACGAAATCCTTTAACTGTTTTGAGCAATGGGTATATGATATATTTATATATGATGACAATATTCATGTTTTCGGTACATCTGTTAATATGTTATGTTCTCGAATATTATAGGGTGACGGAGGAGGTCCATTAGTTTGTCAGGATGATGGCTTTTACGAATTAGCTGGATTAGTATCATGGGGCTTTGGCTGTGGAAGGTTGGATGTTCCTGGTGTTTATGTTAAAGTATCCGCCTTCATCGGTTGGATAAATCAAATCATATCAGTGAATAATCTTTAATCGTCTTATACATGCTACCGGAATTGTCCAATAGAACTGAGACGTTTATTTATTATTAATAAAACGTTGATACACTTTGGTGAGCATTGCGTTGTAATATGTTCAACGACGCGGTGCACGCGCAACGAGGATGTCACGAATAAATTATTTAAAGTCATCCTCGGAAACGCATTTAATGCCTGTGCCAAAAAATTATATTTTATTAAAATGCTAAGCTAATTCTTTTTTTTTTTGTATGCGTTTTAACTCCGTGGGATTTTTGAATAATAAGTAAACAAGAGGCTCGATAAAGAAAGTCCCCCATTTTGTTTTTAGACGAAACAAGTGTGCTATATACTTTTGCACACTCGATATGACGATAAGAAAAATATTATTTTTCTAATCTCGATATGTGTGTGATCCATGATAAATTTATATCTTTTATGTGCGCTCATGTGTACACGCAATAATTTAAATTTATGTTCTATGTATTTAAAACAAAAAAATATAAAAAAAAGAAAAAAAGTAAAAGAAAGAAAAAAAAATGAAAGAAAAAATAAGAATAAATTGTAACGTAAAAAAGTTATTTATTTATAGTAAAAATTGTCAATAATTTAACTTGGTTTTCATCTATATATAATTTCTTTAGAGATATAATCTATATTTTATTAATGTTATTTCTTCTTTTTTTTTGACGAATATTCTAATTACATAATGTAAATTAGCTATCTACGCTTATTATTACATTATGGAAAGAGCTCTGAATATTATTAACTTTCCGTTCATATTCAGATATTCTCTATTTCTCTCTCTATAGTTGAAAGTTTCATAGAACTGTGCTTTGTAAATTACTGCCCTAATTTTCTAAGGTATCTTCCTAAATTTTATCGTTAAGAAATTGATATATTGATTTATAATAAAGAGTGGGAGGGGGGAGGTAGGTAGGATGAACTTGTAAATGCCCATATTAAATTTAGTCATTAAGCAATTTTAAATTTGATATACATTGAACATATTTTGTAATAGCATTCAATAATAAATATTGAAATTGGAATAAACTACAAATTGACATGTAGACAGTGGTCGATTTTTAAAATAAATATTTTTCAATTTTGTTATATATATATGTGTATCACCTTACATTTGATTTTGATAAATGTTTAACACATTAAATATATATATATTATGTTTTTTATAAGAAAATAGAAAAAATGCATAGCAAAAAACTAAAACTCTTGTTTTTTTCTTTTTATTGAAATTAAAATTTATCTATTTAACAAAAAGTTTTTGGACAAAATTTAATAAATTAACGATTTTTATTTATCACCTTGTAGAATTCAGGAAATTATGATAACAATGATGTTTTAGTATTATTATTTTTTGTCTTATAGAAAATCAGAAAAATACTATTTTTATGTCTAACAAAATAATACAATATCTTTTTTTCGCGTATATGATAATTTATTAATTTATTGACATCATCCACCTGTACACATACACTAATATGTACTATATTTGTTATAATAATATGATGAAAAAGTACAAATCAATTAAAAACAATATATATGCTCAAGAAGGATTATATACGATCAATTCTAGTGAAATACAAATATATATATAAATATATCGAACTTTATATGTAAAAAAAGATAAAAACAAACTCTTATTTTGTAAGATTTCGTAGTATTCTTTTCCTTTTTTTTTACAATACATTTATTTCAAGTAATTTGATTTTATTTTACTAGAATGTATGTATAAATATATTATCAGTTGTATGATCCAAGCACTTTTCGATTCGTAAGTTTAGTTTTTGATAATCGTTTGCTTTTCATCATGTCTGGTTTTAAAAATTCATCTTTGTCGTTTTCCTTATCATAGCTCTGTATATGTGTACACAATTTTGTGTATAATTAATAATTAAAAAAATAATAAATAATATATAAGAAATGATAAATAAGAAATAATAATTAAAAAAATGAATAATTAAAAGAAGGTTTAATCGTTTAATCTAAATATAATAATAAATGCTCACCTTCATAGATAAATCAGGTTCCGATTTCATATTGGTTTCAAAAGTTGGCCTTGGAATTAAGGAAATATCTGACGCTGAAGAAGCCCTGACAAAATTGTATTTAATCGTTTCATTCTGGTTGTCTAATGACTCTTCGATTGTATTGTAAATTGGTGATGACGAAGTAATTGTTCCGTTTTCAAATAAAGACGATGAAACGATCGATTCATTTCTGGGTGATTTGTTCATAATCGTATCTTCCTGTAATGATATTAATAAAATTATTTATATATGTATATATATACCTTATCTTACACTTTACCTGGTCGGTATAGTTATTTCACGTAATAGCTGGTTATTTCAGGAATTAACGGATTTCACAAAATAATGCTAACATATATGTATAAATATATTTGATGATAAATTAATATTACGTCTCTTATACCTATACACATATATATTACTCTATGATTAAATTAAATTATTTAAAATTATATAGATAATTAAAAATGATAACTTACATCACTTTCCGATGTGTCCATATTTTTTTTAATTTCTCTAAATCTTTGAAGAATACGTTCATGAGGAGAAGTTGAAGTCAAATGACGAGGATATTGAAATTCTTTTCTTGCAGGTGTTGTACCTGGAGGATAAGAATAAATGATCGTAAAAAGTTATTTAACAAAATTTAATATTTTTATTTAAGATACGTAGAAAAAGAGAAAGAGAAGTAAAAACCTGTTGCAATGTCGTGCCGTAAGTCTTCAATAAGGAATTTTTCGATTTCATGCTCCGTCATATGCAATTGTGCAATTATCCTATTATTGCACTCTATCGATTCTGTACTTCGGTCTTCCAACTTATTTCCAACTTGTGTATTAGCATATATAGTTTCTACAGTTTCGTTGATATCCTATTAAAAAAAAAAACAAAAAAAAACAAAAAAGAAAAGAACAAGTTATTGTGACTTAATAAAAATATAGGGATAAAAATTATATAAGTTTTATCATTGTAATCATTGAACTTACTTTAACTGAAGTGGAAAGAACAGTTTTATTATTCTCTATTTGATGTTTCAATACTTGTGCATGATCTTCTGAAAGATTTTTATATTTTTCTAACGCATTAGATCTTGCAGATAATTCTGTTTGTATTTCTTCCGTTAAAACAATACTTTGCTCTAAAATTTGGTTTACCAATGTCCTATTCTATAATAAAAGAATATTATCGCATCTCTTATTTTTTTATTTTAAAAAAGAGTTTGTTTCTTTATAAAATTAAACTTTATTTAATATTACCTCCTTTGTACTCGCGACAACATCATTTCCAATTATTGAAATATCATTTTCTAATTTGTTTTGTAAACTTTGTTTTCTATTTATACCATTACTGCATTCATCTTTAACGTTATTACTAATTTTATTACATGTTTCATTTACACGGCTTAACATATCAGAAACTTCAGTGCACCTTTTATTTTCATTTTTGCACAAATTATTGAATTGAAGATATACATCTTCGAACATCTAGAACAATTGTTGAAATGTATTTATAATTTTTATATTTATAAATAAATTTCAAAAAAGTGTCATAAATATGTCATTTAATATGTAATTTAATATACCTTTGCAAATTGTCGATTTTCTTGTATAGTTTGATCTTGACTATGAAGTACATTTTGAACGGTTTGTTTTATCTCTTCTATGTTCTCACATAACTGATTGCATTCCCCAAGTTGATAAACACACATTTCATTTATAGATGTTTTTGCTAATGTTGCTAACTGATCAAGCTTTTGCGAAACACTTTGATTTAAAACGTTTAAGTTTTCAGCAATTTTTGTATTTACTAAACTTTCAATTTTAGATACTAATTTTTTAGAAAATTCGTCTAATCGACTACGTTCATCTTCAGTTACATGGGTAACAGTTTCTATTTCATTTCTTAACCATTCTTTGTAAGTATTATACTAAAAAACGTATTATTAATGATTACTCTATTTAATGTATTAAGAAATGCAGTTAAATATAACTTACAGAACTGTCTATGTCTTTTGCTAATTTATTAGTAATAAGCTCGGTTGCTGTTAGTCCCTTATTGGTAACTGTTTCTAAATATACAAAAATTTTACATAAGTGCATGCATTTTTTATACCACAATTTAAGATGAATAAAGAATTTTTTTTTTACCAATTTGTGTCTTCAGAGACATGCAAAATTGTACCAATTCATGTGAATAAACAGATATATTATTTTCAATATCTTGAAAACGATTTTTGATATTACTTTGGAATTGTTGACTAAGATTTTGATTTTCTTCTTCTACTTTCCTATATATAGAACAAATGTAATTTTGTCAAATAATTATTATATAAGAAAAAAAAGAACAAACACATATTAATTATATACTTACGTCTTACGACCAATTTTATCATGTAATTTATAAGTATCTGTACTTGCTACATTTGCAACATTCAAAAGTGTCTGCGCTTGGGATAATAATATTTGTTCAGTTGATGCATGTTTTTCTACAAGATGTTTCTGTTCATCTTTTTCTTGTTTAGTCATTTTTAAATGATCTTTAGTTGACTTTAATACACTAGTTGTGTTTTTTAAATTATTTTCCACTTCTTGCAATTTATTTTTCTGTATACTGTGCTCTACTTGCAAATCATTGAATAATTTCTGTAAGAAATAAAAGAAAATATATAAAAGATGTAATGCACTTATAAAAAAGTTAAAAATATGTTACTTTTAATAGTTTAGTTACCTCTTTATTTAGCATTGTTTCTTCGAGTACTTTAATATGATTGATTTTTTCTTCTATCTCTCTACCTTGACAATCTATTAAACTTTGCATTTCATTATAATTATCTTGTGCAAGATAAACACCATTTCTTTCGCGTGTTGCTAATAAATCTCTTCTTAATCTCTCTATTTCCTCAGTATATTCTTTAAGTAATGCTTTCTTCGAAAGCTTTTGATTAATTTCTGGACGATTGGTAATATTTTTAGCTCTATGCGCATAGTCTAATGTTGATAAGGTTTCCTCCAAATTTATGCTGGCAGGAGATATCGTTGCAATTATAGATGTCTTTGTGCGTCCACCCAATGATTCTTGAAGAAGTCTTGTTAACTTAGATTCTCTATATGTTTAAAGCATTAATTTTCATATGAATAAGAAAATTATTTTAATGTAATAACGCGCAACATAGAATTTAATTATTTTAATTAAAAATACCTATATGGTATATGCGGTGCTCTTTCTACTAATGCTGTTATGACTCGTCCAAGAGTTAATAAAGATTGATTAATATTTCCAGCTTCCCTAGCTCTTCTATCAACTGCACCAGATCTACCCACATTTTCGCTTCCCGCTAAATCTACTAAATTTAATTTTCCTGTTTTCAAAAGCTCTTCTCCATCAATGGTGTTCTCTTTGATATGTACTGTGATTGAAAAAACTGTATGCGATCGACTAAAAAATAATCATGAAGATTATTAATATTTCAAATTATAGAGAATAGAAGCATTTCTTTTTTAAGAAATCATAAATTTTGTAAGACAATTATTATAACAACGCTTAATATTGTACCAACCTTGAGTGAGCATTCATCAATGTTGCAGCTGTTTGTCTTTTTTCTGACCCTTTTTCAAGGATCTTATAAACTTCACTTTTATTATGTACAGTTACTTCTTCTAGACCATGAATGATAACAGCACCTTTTCTTGATGTGTCTTCGTATAATCTAATAACAATAGAGTAATATAAAATAAAAACAACTCATAAATTTATAAATTAAAGCATATTACAATTACCTTATTTTTGAAGCATCATCGTTGGGTGATAAAAGATCAAACAATTCTTCATTATAGAGTTCTAGAAAGCTGATTCGTACTGTGTATTCCTGAGCCTCTAATAATCGTAGTTCGTCAAACAAATGACTTAAAGTACGTGGTATAATTCCAGCAGTTGTGTCCTAAATAGTATATGAATTAATTGAGCTTTTTACAAGCTAAATCGATTAGATTCATTTTTAGAATTTTTTTAAATTTTCATGTTGAAACACTTCATCAATGCTTAACTTTTCATATTTTAAATTAATTTCCTTAATAATGAATTTAACATATTCAGCAGTAAGTCTTTTTTGTTGAGCTATTCATTTAGGCCATGATAGTCTGCCAGCCATAGGAAATATAAGAATGTTGGCCATTGATAACCGATGTAGCTTAGACGGTAAGTCTAAAGCTGGTCTTGAAGAACCAGCGTTTAATATGTTAACACCATAATACAATAAATTTTTATATGAAACTTTATAAACTTTCTTTACTTTTTGTTTTACGTTAATCAATTAGGCAAGTGAGTAGCTCAATTAATAAAGTAAATAAATTATTAAAACTAATTAATGTTTAATAATAAAATAAATTACGCTTTGCCAATGTAGAGCTGGATCATTGCTGACACCTTCCATAGTGAATGTTTTTCCTGTACCGGTTTGTCCATAAGCAAACACCGTACAATTATATCCAGCCAAAACTTCTTCCAATAGAGGACTAACAATAGCATTGTATACATCAATCTAAATTAAATATAAAATTAAATTAATTGTAATGATAAAATATTAACAAACAAAAAATAGAAACATAAATTATAAAACAATATGCATACCTGCTTTGATGATGGACCGAATACTTCATCAAATGTAAACTTTTTTGAAAGTTTGTCTTGTGGTCTTTCGCGTATTATTACTTCTTTATTTGATGGTACATCCACCACTGACACTGATTTTCCCATTCGTTCTGCATTGTTTATCGGCCTGATTAAATATAAAAATAAACGATTATACACGATAACAAAAATAAAAGTAAAAATTAGTATATAAATCTTGTATAAAATAATATTATCTTTTTTTCGCGCACCTGACTCGTACAAACACTTGTATATGTTGATTTTTATCCTTTTTTCCAGTGCGCGTCTCATTCATCTTTTTAAGCTTTAATAATCGTAGATTTTCTGTATGATAATTCCTTTTGTATTTATAAACTTTCTGTGGTAAGACCTTTCTGTAATAATATACGCGTGTTTAATCACAACTTTTCCGTTATAAAATTTAAATTGAATAGTTTGTACGAGCGACGCCAAGATAGATAAATGCGTTCGTGAATGCATCTGATTCGAACATTAAAGTAGTGTCAAGTGTAATGAACCAATCAACGTTCTTTATTCTTGACTAATCAATTTTGAGTATATTAATAGGTCGTAAATAAAGTACCATTCATCGTGTACATCATAAGCTCTATGAAAATCGTTCTTAATGTACGTTTGTGGTATGACGTGTGTTTAGTAAAAGATAAAAAGACAATAGAAAAAAAAGATTAGACAAATTGTAAATAATATCACAGTCAAGGTATTTTTAAATGTTACATATTATATTATGACTTAAATAATAAATTATATTACAAAATTAGATATACTTATAATATATTTTTTTAGCATAGTAAATCAGTTTTATCAGAGTATTTGTTTCTTTCAGATGATAACCGATGTACAACTTACTGTTTTCTGTAACATGCTTGGGATTATGCTATTTTGTCTAGTGTTTCTATTTCATTACATAAATGCGAATTATTCAAAATGAGTGGGCATATTTATATATCATTTCAAGAGACTACATTATAACAGTTTATAGGTTAGTCGATGATTATGCAGACCGCTCATTGGATTTCATACGATGTAAATCATTTTAATAATATATAATACGACATTAATAAATTTTATTCTTATATTATTCTTTCCCGTAACAGTTACTTTCATCGATCTTTGACTGTGAATATTAGTCTGTTATAGAACATGTTATTTTATTTAAATACAGACTTAACTTTAGCATATATTTATCATATTTTTATTTATTTAAAATAAAATGTATTTATAACTTATACGTTATTATTATTTTAGGCAACTCCGTAAATATATTTATCATGCGAGTCGTGGCCAAGTTAAAGTGATTAACTCTATTCCAAGAATTTTATTATCAAAGTACTTAGTCAATAGTTAACTTTTTGTTTTTGAAATTTGTTTCCGGAATAATTAAATTTTACACCACTAAATGAGAATTTTTTTGACGTTTCTACATTGAACGATATAACAGTTTATATTAGTGTATCAATTTTACTTATTTTTCGTATTTTAAAATTGATTAGAGTATTTTAATCGATTTGGCACATATGCTAAAATGGTTTAATTATAATATTCTTATTTATTAAAGATAAATGTACTAATGAAAATACATATATATATATACGTTAGCATTTTCTTTATGAATAACTCTTACAGTTTATATTTAATATTCATAGTGATGACATTAAAGGCAACAAACTAAGTAGCACACAATATTTTATTTAACATAATGATCAATAGTTAGCTCAATCTTTCCATTGGTTTATTTTTGATTCTTTTAAGATACATATAAATTTTATAATATTTTGACTGAATATTCTTAAGATGAATAAAGACAATGGTATAATAAGGATAACTATGGTATAAGTAATGATGTATCAAGATCGCATAAATAAAGGTAATACGTCAAAGGAATAAATAAAAAAAAAAAGAAAAAATAGTCTTCATTTGGTTTTCACATGTTAGGAAGCTCTAACACGTGAGTGTTTTAAAAGTAATACTACGAAGCGTACGGTGATGTAGTAGGGGATAACTACTACAAATACATACTTTCGAATAAAACATTGCTTGTGCTTCTTTAAAGGGGGAATCGCGTTCTTAATTTGCATGAAATACGCGAATACCTTTTAGTTTGTAAGCATTCACGCGTTAAAGGAGATATACGGAAAACGGTCTACGAATGTCGTTTTTTTTTTTAAATTATTAAACGAGAGAAAATAGATAGTCTTAAAGTATAGGTAGATCAAAGTAAAATCGATAAATCACACGCACCGATCATTTTTATTTTGTTTACTTCTATTTTTGTTTATACTTTTTTTTTTAATTTTTTTTCTTTCTCCCAACACGGTCTTTTTGTGTAACTCGAGTCATGGTGTTCGCATGGAAATACAAATGCGAGTTAATATATTACTTTTTGGATCATTAATTAGAACGACGACGTATTGATGTGTGTTGACAATGATAAATAATAATATTTTTCTTTTAATATTCCTATCGACGACTATACTGATTTATTATCAACCATTATCATCTTTCGTGAATGCCTTTGAAGTTAATGATTGTCTGGCACTTTGTTCAAACGTAAGTTAATGAAATAAAGAGGTGTAAGAAAAAACTATAAAGAAGAAAGGAAGAAAAAAGTTCGAATTTATTGAGAATAATTATTCTTCAATTAAATTGAATTAAAGAAAATTTCATTGCAAAATATTTTTCGATATGAAGTTAAAAGATGGTCACTGAATTATTCAAAAATTTAGAAATAATTTTTCCACGGATAACGTATAATAATTGTCTCTTTTAGTTCGTTTTTTATATTATTCCGTACCTTTTCTTACTTTGTTTTCTTTTTTTTTTTTAAAACACGATTTATAAAATATGTGTCTTTGCACTTCGACACCTGCGTCAACATAACCCGTCTTGGAATTTTTGAAAACTTTTATTCTATTGTTTATTAAGCTGTAAAACAGATCAATTATTGTATATTTACATATGTAAATAGATCGTAGATCGTTTAGAATCGATGAAGAAACATTTTAAAGTATCGCATATTAAACAGTATCGATATCAGACGTTATCGTTACTTTATCGGAATTATAATAAATATATAAATTATATATATATATATATATATAATCATATTTTTAATATTATAAATAAATACAATGTAAATGTAATTATGATAGTGTATTAAGTCAACAATTATTCATATTGTAAAATAATTCGTGCAATTAATTTTTCTGATTTTTTTTTGTTTTACTTACATAAGCTGTCATAATTATCGGTACATGTGTAAAAATTAAACATCATTCTTTTAGAATTGTTTTGTCACGCGACTTGGTTGTTATTAAATATCGAAAGTGTAAACAACGAACATATGAATATTTTAACATTTATTGAACTATTATTTTTATTCGAACGAATTATCGATCGCGTTAATCCAATAAGTCAAATAGTCTGATCATTCTTCTTATTTGCTTTGACGTAAAAGGAGGAGTCAGGATTTTTTTTTTATATCAAAATATATAATCAAAATTAAGATTTAAAAATAGAATTTGATTGAATTTGTGTGGAAAAAGATCGTTTTGTAGGACGTATCGATCACACGTAATGATTTAGTCTCAAGAAGTATAATAATCTAAACTTTTTATTTCGTGTTTATTTCGATATTTCTTTTTATATTAAAATAACGTAGACATAAGTTAAAAAATCAAGTTTTACTTTAATATGCATAGAGATGATTATTTTTACAATGAATCAATCATGATTTCGTCTTAAAAATGATTTTTATATACATGTAAAATAATATAACAAAACAGTAGAATAAAAGATTCTATAAAATTCTTATTCCTATTTTCATTGAATTTCATTTAAATTGTAAAAGTTATTGAAATTCATAAAAATAAAAAAACATTGTGTTACGAGGTATAATTCAACATTTTGTTTAAAAAGGATTTGAAATTTGACAATTATTGCGATCTTTTGTTTATCATAAAAGAAAAAAAAAGAACAAAAATATATATTTTTTTTAATAATAGAAAATATTGTGTAAGAGATATATTATGATCCTACATCATTTTTCTCAGTTTTTGCAACTAAATGCATTGTAAATTTTATTGTCTCAGACGAGAAATCTTTCGTACTAAATATTCTATCCATTAATGCAACGGCTTTTTCGACGTCAATGCATATTTTATATTTTACATACACCAATGTGGATATACATAGAAAGGAATCAATGAATAAAAGAGAGAGAGAGAGAGAGAGAGAGAGGGAGAGAGAGAGAGTTAAAAATGAAAAAAATGCTATGAGATTCGTCGATATTTTTTTGCACAAATACGATCTCTTTTTGTCTTCTAGAACATACAATTTAAAAGACAAAAAAATATATTAAAAGGATTAAATTAGATTACGACGAAAAAGAAGTTTCATATTTTCTTTCGAATAATTTTCGTCATTTAAATCGTTATCTCGAAACGTGTTTCATAGAATAACGATGAAAAATTATATTACCTCCATAATTTTTCACTTTAGATATATATATATGCACATCTTATTCTCATATTTTCTAGTTCTATTATTATTTATCATTATCATAGATATCATCAATAACGGGGCCCTTTTATTTATTTTTCAGGAATCGTGTGGAAATTCCTGTTACCATAAGGTACGTTTTTATTGTTCGTAATTTTGTTGTTCAGAAAGAGACAAGAAAAAATGATATTATTATTATTAATGATCGTATTTAACTCTTCATATGATCAATACATATATATAATATTAAATATACCAAGTATATATTTATTTGTAAAAAATTGTACAAATTTATTGAGTTGCCTAGAAAATTTCTATTGATTTATCAATATACATACATATATATCGATATATTTTTAAATATATATATTTCGAAATATATTGTCATTGATTTTGAATTGTTTTTTAAATCTGCACGAACTTTCTAGGCAATACATTGTAACGTTTAATTTTTATATTCATGTTTTCCAATAGACGAAAAAAAATGAGAAAAACAAAACAAAATAATATAAAGTAATGGGGACTACGAACCATAATAAATATTCAAAAGGTACGCTGTTTTAAAAGAAGGTCGCGATAAACTATGCTTTCGACAAGATATAAAATATATTCGTTCTTTCGAAATATAGTTGAGTTAATAATTATCTTTTTTCCTCGTCATTTTTCTTTAGTTTCAAAAATTGAGATACTATTGTTATTATTTACATTATTTCATCATATTAATAAATTATTTTCACAAGAAGAAATGATCCAGCTGATTTTAAACGTTTTTTTTTTTATAATTTGATATAATTTATATTCACAGATAAACGAAGATGCGAATGCAAATATCAATTTAAATTGTAGAGGAATGAATTCTATTATGATCAAGCATAATACAGGAACGTATATTATCGAGCAAAGTACAAATGATCATATTTGGAAAACAATAAAAATAGTAATTAAATGGATTAATAATACTTCAATAAGAACAAATATAAAAAAAAAATTATACGACAATGAATAATATATTTATTATTTTTCTAGAGCAAAGGTAAATTTTCTTTCTTTTCAAATTTAATATCAAACAAATCTTATAGATTTCGTTTAAGAAGATTAACAGAGAAAGGTATATCTCGACCAGAAATATCCGATTGGTTTTCAACTTACAATGGTAAACCAATTTTTTGTTTATTTTTCAAATACATGTCAGTTTGAATTGAATTCTATTAACAAATGTATATATTTCAATGGAATTTCAGTTGATTATGTACCGAAGAAAGTTTCTAACGTATCTTTGTTGAAAATGGAAATAGATAAAACCAATGTGTGTCAACTTTCTGCAGATATTCGTTTTGAACCAGCGGACGGTAATGCTAATGTACTTATATGTCATGTTATAAATGCAAATGACTTTTTTTTACTATTAATAATTTAAATGTAATGACATAAACATGACATTGTGTACATTTATTTATATATACATATATATATATATATATAGAGCATCTCAAAAGTTGCATTACCGAAGAAAGAATAATAAAAAATCAATATTGATTCATTACTAGATTTACGATATGTTTTTTATATCAATATATCAATCTTCAGTTAGAATGTTGTTAAAACAAATATTGGCCCATGATCTGCCCTCGCTCTAAATATTTGCCAAAGTAATTTATAATTTTTCAGTTTATTAAAGAAACTTTGAGACACTCTGTATATATATGTTAATACACACAAACACAGTATGTAGAATAATATTTGTTATATTTCAGATTTGAGTTGTTATTATAATGTTTTGTATTGGCAATACGAACACGATTTAAGATACCTAACAATCCGGAAGGTAATATAAAATTAAATTGTAATTTATTTTGGATTACTTACACGGAAATTTGTTTCAGGCTCCTACTTTTAATTTCCATCTTCGTAATTTAGAATTTGATCGGAACACAACGGTATATATTTCTTCTGTGAACGGTATCGATAAAAACGTCAGCGATCAAACAACTTTAACATTTGTTACACCTTCTTGCTTGGAAATGCATAATAATTTAAAGATTTGTTGTTAGTAAACGATAGATTATTAAATCATTTATACTATATTAACGCGATTTTATTATTAGATGTTGATCGTGTCGTATAAAATACATTTGATTTACGATATTTTATCACACACAGCTCCGCTAAAGGTCGAGGGACTACGCATGATAGATATTTACAAACATGATGGTCTTTACGATGTTATCGTTAACTGGGATAAACCTAGGAAAGAACCGGATAATTATACGATCCAATTGGAAACCTTTCGGAAAGATAAAATATTACTTATAGTACCTGGGGTTTGTATTACCGTCAATTTTTATTCTTATTTTTTTTTCGTTGGATCTCGTTAAAATACTATTTAGAAAATTTTCAGAAATTTGTTTTTACTTAGAATGCAACCGAGGCTCATTTTATTAATATCAAATTGGAACAACAATATAAAGTCAGTATTATAGCTGATTCCATTGGTGGTTCTAGTCCGGTATCTAAAATAATAACTGATTGTAACGTGATGTTAGGTAAATAAAATGGATTTTCATTTTTTAACAAAATGTTATTTAATTTTAATTACCTATTAATTCGTTAATTTCTTTTGCTTTTTTGGTGTGTTTAGTTAATGAATACAGTCTTTTTCAAAACATCATGATACCGTTAGTGATTATAATGACGATTTTTATATTGGTAACAATTTGCATGTTTCTGTTTAAAGGAAGAACAAATTTATGCCATAAACAATACACGCATTTTCAGGTAATACTTTAACAAATCACGTGTGCAAATCACAAATACGAAATATAATAATACGATTTTTATATTTCCTCTTTGTATGTACGAATGTAGGCTTTAAATCAAAAGGAATTTCCTACTAGTGTGCCTAAATTATTAGAAGAAAATAAGGACATATCCAACAATGATAAAATTATTTTACCATTGGATAAGTTTGAATTATCTCCAAAAAAATTACAATTAAAAGATATTCTTGGAAGTGGTGCTTATGGAATCGTTAGACTTGGATTGTTTCGGGATGATTTCGGTGCTGTTATTAACGTGGCAGTTAAAGGACTTAAAGGTATTGAAATCATTTAAAAATATCTAATAAATATACACATAAGTGTTGGTAATTGTGACAGTAGATTAATATAAGTCAAAAAATTGAAAAATTTATTAATTTATATGATTTATTTTCTGATTTATAATATAAAAAAAATTATAAAATCATATTTTTCAATTTTTTGGCTTCACAATTATCGTCACATATACATTTACATATTCGTAAATTCGTAAACTTATCTAATCAATATATTTATTCATTACAAAGATAATCCAACTGTCGATGACGTAAATAACTTTTATAAAGAAATTCAAATAATGAAATCAGCTGGTAAACATCCAAATATAGTTTCATTAATTGGTTATTGTACGATGTATAACAAACCATTGTTGATCGTTGAATATTGCTGCAATGGAGATTTGCAAACGTATTTGAGAAAGGTTGAAACTTCAAATATTTTCTTCGTTCTTTTAGAGTACGTAAATAAGAAGATTTAGTATTAGCAATTAAGTACAAATATTTTTTTTTTCTTTTTCATGTTTTTTCAGATATGGAAAAATACGATAAACGATATTCTTGATTATAAATCGCAATTTAAATTCGAACAGTGTTTTCATAATTATGAAAACGATCAGACTGATCGAACCGTTGAAAATCATTTATATGATATTCGACAGGGTAAGTCGAATTAATATGATATGTTACTATGATTTTAAATATCACATAATGAAATAAATATTTATTTAATATTTGATTAAAGAATATATTACTGCGGTCGATTTATTGAATTTTGCAAGGCAAATCGCTAATGGAATGGTAACTTTTAATAATCTATTTAAATATTATCATTTTCTGTTTTTAATTATTTATATCACATAATATAATAAATCATTATATTTAGGAATTTTTATCAACCAATCGAATAGTACATCGTGATTTGGCTGCACGAAATGTTTTAGTATGCTCTGACAATATTGTCAAGATATCAGATTTTGGTCTTAGTCGTGATATTTATCAAGAAAATGTTTATAAAAAACAAGGAAGCGGTAAATTGCCATTAAAATGGATGGCAATCGAGGCTTTGACACATCAGATATATACAACTCACAGTGATGTGTAATACTTTTAATTTATGAAATACTAATTTATATTAATAATATCCAACATTTTTTTTATCGTAAAATAATTGATGTTAATAGGAAAAAATGTTATAACTGTTTTTCTTCAAAGTATTTTTTAAATTGCAGATGGTCTTTTGGTATTCTTTTATGGGAAATAATCACGTTAGGTTGCACACCATATCCTGGGGTTCCCACAAGTAATATCTTGAAGCTTTTAAAAACAGGATATAGAATGGAAAAGCCACCAAACTGTGGAGAAAATTTGTGAGTTTATATGAAATACATACATATTATATTTTAATCTAATTGTTTAATTAGACTATTACCATAGTGTTTAAATTTTTTATTTAGATATAATATAATGTATTCGTGTTGGCATATCAGACCTCAAAGCAGACCGACTTTTACGGAATTAAAGAATGATTTGGATATGTTACTTAACAATTATACTGATAATAAATATTTAAATTTGAGTTAAATATTACAAGAACTTAAAAAAAAGAAAAGGATCAGTGCTTTTTGACAAGAAACTAAAAGAAATTATATAAATGATTAAAATAGTTCTTTTGTTATCATTATAACAAAAAAAAAAAGAATAACTATTACCATTGAGTATTCAAGTTATTACTATGTATTATCTCTTGAGAAAGTTATACCATGTGCAAAATCATTTATTTCGTAAGAATTTTTACGTACAATAATCTGTGATATAATCCCTTACACATATACGTGAGTACGTGTGTGTATGATTTCGTGTGAGAGTGTATATGTTTCATAATATTGTGTTTATATATATATATATATGCATATATATATACAATATTTTTTAATCATGATAACTCAAATATACATTGACGAAAAATGTAACTAACTTTTAAATTTTATTTCGTACTTCTTCAATTTCAATTGTGCAATTTTTAATAGCATTACACACATAATATACGTGCTACCATTTGAAATTTTCCTTTATTAATTAATGATGTGATTAATATTTTTATTCTTCGCGATAACATTAAGATTGAAAAGTCGATTCTACGTTCAGATAGACAACAAAATAATTGATGCAGGATAAAAAAGACAAAAAGCTGAAAAAATGTTTACAAAGAATTCGATTATTCGTACAATAACATTGTATCTTAAATACTGAAGAGATATAGCATATATCTATATGTATACAACATGAACTGCGTCAACTAGGCACATTTTTGCTATTGCGAGAGGAACTTTGCGTTTTCATTTTTGAGAGATAAAAAGAAAAATTAAATAATTCACGCAAATCGACTAATCAATCTGAAGTAAAGAATAGGATCGTTATTAGTTAGATGACAAATGAATAAGTAACGCGTATTTTTGTATGGTACCTTTTAAAGTACGGACAAATATGTTGGACATGTTTTCTTTTCTTTTTTTTTTTTAATATATCGCTTTATTACAATATACTAATAATTGATATGAAACAGAGATCGTGTCTGAATATGTGTCGGACAGCAGATCTTATCACCAATAGAAGATATCCCTATTACTTTTTGTACGCACAATCTCGGAGTTATATATTTGGAGAATAATATAAAAAATTTATTATATATATATAACTCCAAATTTTCTCTAATGTTAAGATGTCTTTTTCTGTTCGCAACGCGTGAGAAAAAAATCGTAGCATGGCCGAGAGAGAAAGTGAAACAGAAAGAGAGAGAAAGAGAGAGAGAGAGAGAGAGAGAAAGAGAGAGAGAGAGAGAGAGAGAGATAGAGAGAGAGAGAGAGAGAGAGAGAGAGAGAGAGAAGTACATCTTATCTGTGAACAATAGTTACAATATCCCGTATGAATCTTATATTTTTTATCCTTCCTTAAAACTATGTACAGTTTTTAATTGGAAAATTCCTTTAATCAATCGTTAGGCTTGTTTTACATGGGATACCTTTTTTGCGATGCAACGATTATCTTTTTTTTCTTCTTTTTTTTTTATAAGTTCTACGATATACAGTTAAAAATGTACATTTTTTTATATTTATAGAAAAAGAAAAAAAATATCTTAAAAAAAAGTCAATCATACATTAGATGTATTAAATGAATATAGACAGCAGTGTTCTCGTTTATACTCAGGTTTTTTTCTTTTCTTTTTCCTTCTTTTTTTGTGGACTTCGTTTTGAAAATTATCAAATATGTTATTAAACTTTAAAAACTTATAAGTCAAATATAATATAAATCTATGTCGTATAAATTTATGCTGATATCTAAATAATTACAATGAGGAATAACGAGAATACTTTGTAACGCCTAAAATGCGACTATTTTGTAAAAAAATGTTGAAGAAGACCCCAACACAAATATTATATTATATATAATACAAATAACGATGACGGTAGTATGTAGTGATAGTGGCCGTAAAAATAAATATTAATCATGTATTATAGATATTTTATAATATCTAATAACTGTAAATTAGGTCAATTTATGATTTCTCCTATGTTTATAACATAGATTCTACATTCACATAATTAAATTTTTAATTACACCAATGCTGAAAAAAAAATGTCATTTTCCGTATTATTGGAATGTTATTACGTTAAATGTATTTTTATAATCTGTGAATTTCAATCTTCCTTTTTATTGTTAGAATGGTATCACAGAGGAAATTGTTGTATTACAAATGATTATGTTTTTTTTTTTTTTAAATATTTTTGTATAATTTTTTTTTTATTTTGATTTTACTGCGAATAATTAAAAATGCATAGTGATAACTTTGAAGAATGGACAGGCCAAAATTTTTGTTCATATATATTTTCAATATTATTCATCAATAATATTTCCAATTCTAGATATGCGATTATCCAAGAAATATTATTAATAAATATTTCATACAAGATCATAAACTTGCGATCATTAGTAAGTATACATCGCTTAGAATAAAAATAAATCATATTATGTGACTATCAAGTACGGCATGAAAGTTATTTTCGAATAACGTTTGATATAACAAACGGATATAATTATACGGATTGGCATAGTTTGCATAAACAAATAATTTTTAAAATAACTACGTAAATTATAATAATACATTATTTTTAACTCTTATAAAGTGAATAAATGACGTGCTCTTAAAAAATAGTAACGATGAAAAAAAGTAGCTCAACCGAATATTATTCAATTAATATATTCCTTTCTTTAAATAGCCAAAAATCACAGACAACATAGTCTCTATATCAGTAAGATAGACCGACAGGAATTTTATCATTGATAATCTCACTGTCTTTTGTACGACTTTCGATGCTACCTATATCAGATGCTATCGTTTCTAATTAAACTATCTTCCTTGTCAACCGGTGGTGGACCTGTGGTAATTGTTGTACTGGGTCCTGCTGTTAAATAACCAGCGGATACTGGTGTTCCAGCTGGATAATAATTAAAAAAATATATTTTTTTATTAACTATATTTATATTTATATTTAAATATAAATACAGATCTCAAAAACTTATCTCACCCGTTATAAAGCCTGAATTGGAGGCATTTGTTAAAAATAAGTCATGTCGTTGATCTTTGTATTCTGCCCAGACACTAGATTTTTCCAATATAGCATTAACCTTTTCACCTAAAAGTAAGCTTCTCGTCATTGCTTTTAAAGCTTTCACTATTTGCGCTTTTGTCGTAGCAGCATTATCGATAGCATCTAATCGACCTTCCAATATATTTAAGAGATATGGCACCATTTCAGCTTCCAGTGCCTAAATACAATTTCAACATAGACTCTATTTTAATTTTTTTATTTAATTATAAGGTATATTTTATATCTATGCTTAACGATGTAGCACACCTGTTTAATAAGTCTATCCTCATTCGTAGAAAATAATCTATTTAAAGTTTCGCATGCTATTGCTATCATATCCCGTCTGGATTGCATAGCATGTTTTAATGGACTTATACATTCTGTTTGACAAATAGATGATATACAAATCTAAAAATGAAAGAAAACAAAAAATATAAATAATACAATGATTTTAATTAGGATCGTCATATTTTAATATCAAATGAATTTACCTCGCTGGTAGCTAATTGATGTAATATTAATATTGCTGTTTTGTATACAGAAGGTTGATTATTCTGCATTGCCATTTGTCTGCATAGTCGTGGTATATGGCCTAACGATGGTACTTGATCTGCTAACATGGGTTGTGCTTGTAATAAACATACCAAAGCTTGTGTTGTAAGCTCTAACATCTCAGACTGAAAAAATATATTATTATATACACATAAGCACACTCATATATTATTTGATGATGATTATGAAAGTGGTCTAAACTATATATTTTAATAATTGATTTTTACATAAGATAAAATAATTCTTGTTATTTCCAGTTAATTATTTTGTAATTCTTACATCAGTCTTTTCCTTAGACATAAATATTAGAATAGTGTCCATAAGTTCGCTTAAAAATTCTTTAGGCTTTCTAAGAGCCCATGCAGGACTAGCTATAAATAATCTGAGGTATACGCCACCCACTACAGGTTCATTTGTAATGATATCAATATTATTCTGCGTGTCTGGTAACTTCAATATTGCATTAGGATTTCTTCTTTGTAATGCGAAATATCTATTTAAAAAATGATTATAGATATAGTATATAGCTTTTTCAATGATCCATATTATATTTTAATTATATAGAACATACTCATCTTTTAATTCTGCAACAATTCTTGAAACTCGTCCTTTGGATTCATCGTCCCAAATCAATTCTGGATTTTCGTGTTTCGTTTCAAACATGTTTACACATTGTTTAGGTGCATCACGAATTGCTTCACTAAATAACCTGGGTAAAAATTTAGATAGATCTAATTTCACCTTTGGTCCAGCCAATTTATCTGAAGACATTTTGGCGAGCAATTCAGCCGCTGTTTCTCGTACCTGAATATTACTTGAATTGCAGAATAAATCAAGGACATAAACAACAGCTCCTAAAAATATTCATTATCAAAGAGTAATTTATATACATATAATATATGGACTTTTGCATAGTTTTTAAATGTATGTACACCAACCTTTGGCCAATGCTTCCTTTACGATCTTTGTTGAACTCATTAGTGCATATAAAGTTTCTAATGCGAGAAGTTGATACTCCTTTAAACTGTGCAAGCATAATAGTAAATGTACTGTCACTTCGTTCGCTGCGATATCACTGACACATTCTTGATTTTTAGTTACATTACTGATTACTTCAAGTGCACTTTTTTGCACTAATTTGAAATTGTTACAATTAACTAATCCAAATAATAATTTAAAATGACCCATACACTGTAGTTCTATTCCAGGATTATTTTTAATTACATTTCTTAATGCTTCTAGAGCCATTACAACGTGTTCTAATTTTTCTTTATATTCTTTGCCTAAAGTAACACTTCCAAGAGAAGCTAAATAATCCGATGATTTGGATAGAAACTCGAGCAAATTTATTGTAAAGCTTTTTGGATCCTGAAAAAATATTAAAATCTTATAAATTATAGCATATAACAAAAGAATGAGATAGTAGATAATAATCATATTACAGTAATTTTACCTCTATAGGAAAGACTGGCTGTTCATTATATACTTTAACAAATATTTCACCAATAAGCAATTCTCCAGCATGAGCACTGTACTTAAAATCACTGAAATCATGTTCAAAGTTTTCGTTACCGTTCAATCTTTCTAATCGCTTAACTTCTAAATATTCGTTTAACTCGGCTCTAGTTCCATTATCCCAAATTAAATAGGGGTTTGAACAATTAGAGTTTAATGTCTTTAATATCTCCTCTGGCTTGTTTTCACTAAGCCGACGAGCAAGATAAGGTGTTAAAAGACTTTCTAAAGCTGCCACTGTGACAGGATTAGTAGGTGTTTCGTTTTCTCCTGTCATATAACCACCTAGTCTAGCGCATGCCTTGACAGCTAATTTTGCCAAGTTATTAGCAACTTCTTGTCTATTTTCATCTTGAGTTCTTTCGACGCCACCTTCTTCTAATGTATAATCGTAATTAAACATAAATAGTAACAAATGCCACAAAGCACCAGATTGAAATAGCTGCATTTGTAGAATGCTATCTGTAGCAAGTGATGATACACATTCGGTAGCAACCGAACATAATTTTGTCAAATGCTGTCAAAAATATTCAGTTCAATGTTAGATCATATTTTATAATCATTAAATTCAAATATATTAAAATAATGTATAAACTGTATATCATACTAGATATTATAAAATTTTTAATATATTTATCAAGATACTTACTCTGAAATGTAATATTCTGCATAAATCTTTAACCAATTGTGGTAATTCAATGATTTTATCTCTGCATCCTCTAAATGAGCCAGCAACAGCAAAACATTTGGTAATGTGCATACATACTTGTACCGCAATATCATTGGATTTACTTGATTTGTTCAAAACCGAAACACATCGAGTATAGGCATCAAGTAAAACCTCTAAACCACCTTCCCTTCGTAATTCTTCCGCGTTTAAAGCAGAACAATGAACCGTATGATATGCAAGTTCACTAGCAGCAGCCAATAATGGTGCAGACTTTGAAAATAAACGTTCATCGTCTGTTTCTAATTTGATCGTTTTAATTAACTGAGGATAACCAGCATATTTATATGGCCTAAGTTCTTCTGAATACCTATGAAAAAGAATACTTTGTGTTCTCAAAATAAGTACTATATTATCAGGATTCGGGCCGTCGATAGTCCAACAACTGCGACTACATAAAAATTCATATGCTTGATTAACTGCCTCAAATTTATCCTAAAGCAAACAAATATATTATATATATTATATACCGTACAGTTTTGATTCTTATAGAAACCATACTTTTTAATGCTAGAAATATGTATTTACCCTGCCTTGAGGATTTTTATCTGGATGATACATTTGAGCTAATTTATAATATGATTTCCTAACGTTTGCTTCATTGTGTTGTTCTCCAATAGGCAGACCTAATACTTTATAAGCATCATCGACTGTCATTAAGGGCGGTTTTTTCTCTACCTCTTTTTTCCACGCATCCAATACATCTTTTAATAATTGCACCTGTATCAGTAGTAATAGATAGTATATGTATCATAATATAATATAAAGAAATGCATATTATATATAATTTCGACTTACAGGCTCAGGTATAGGCCATTGAGGAAATTTGACAGTATCGCATAGATGTCGAAGATAAAATATTTGACAAAATAATTCATTTTCCAATTGTGGATACCTCACAGCAGGTATAGCTATGTATTGATACTTGGCCATAGTATGGCTTCTTAATTTCGGAGTAAAATCGGCAATATGTGCGGCTATTTTTTCAATAAGCATTCTTCTCATTTCAGCATTCCAAATTGCTTCGGGAGTATCAAAATCACCTAGAAATATTTGTGCAAATTTCTCTGCACCATGATTTTCTAAATAGCTGACCATGGCATCAGGTAAAAGTTGGCCAAGAATGCTTCGTTGCATAATATCGGAAGATATGTTCTAGAAATATGATTATAATGTACATTAAGATTGAAAAAAGTGATTGTGATAATATGATCATTAAACATTCGACATACATCATCGCTTCTAAAAGCCTGTTTAATGTGTGTCAATTGTAAAAATCTTGCTATAGGTAGAACATTGGAACCAGTGTACATCAATATAAAATAGAAGACACCGGTGAGATAAATTTTAGAGACATCTGCATTGTCGCGCATTATTTCGCATAATAATGTAGCGACTCTTTCGACCAAGACGGGATCAAAGGTTAGTAAGAGTTGTACAATATGTGGTAAACATTGAAGATCTGACAAAAGACGTTTAACACGTGGCAACGGCCTAATCACAGCATCGTCCGCATCTCTACTTGGAAAGTATTCGCACATTTTAATTAAAATATTTAAAATCAAAGTTGCTAATTCACTTTCATTGATTACTGGCATTCCTCTTGCGACTAAAGTCCACTTCAATTGTGGTACTTGAGATATCATTCTCCATCCATCCAATCCTTGTGCCCAAACCTTTGTTTTATAAGTTATCTTATTTGTCGTATACAAATCTTTTAGATCTTTTAAACTTATGGGACCCTTACGCGTGTCACCATCATTATAATACCATTCTTTTTCCATTATCCTCTCTTGTTGTGGACCTGCTTCTATGACATTAGTTTGCGTGGGTACCACAGCACGAGAAGTATGTAAATGTGCTAATGTTAAAAGATCTACGAGCGATCGTACTCCATTCTGATCCATTATTTCTTTAACGTTTCTTCTGTGTAGAATAAGTTTTTTTATGAACATAACTAATCGATCTCGCTCCATCCTATCGGTGCACCGATCCAACATTCCTACTATATATTTTGTGTCTGAGAATGGTCCAATATCTTCGTAATATCGTCCATACACTATAGTCATTGCTTGCAAGCAAAGGCACTTCATTTCGACTTTTGTTGTTAATAAGAATCTATGGTATAAGTCATTAAAAAATTCATACCTATAAAAATAAAATAAGTTAATATATATTTTATTGCTATATAATCTTACATTTTAAAAACATCTTAATATATTATTATTGTATATTTATTTACATACGATTTTCGAATTGGACTGTCTGGGCTATCTTTTTCTAGTAACAGCCTCAAGTAATAATCTCCAATTTTGACTTCATCTGATAGGCACTGATATTGCACTTCGAATTCTCTGTAATTCCATGCAATCAAGGTTCCACCTGCTAATTCTTTATCCGAGGTAAATGCACGTATTTCGTGATCAAGAGCAGTTCTTAATTCTTCTCTTGTTTTATGATTCCATATTAAATTAGGTAACGAATGATCTTGATTGAATTTATAATAAAACAATTTCCAGTTTGCTTCAGACTTAATTCTTTCTCTGCGTTTTCTTAAGACTATTGGACGTTCTTTGATCTTTTCTCGTCTTTCTATACCGACACGTGCACCCCAGTGCTGAAGAGCATGTTCCACATGCTTCTCAACTAATCGCATTTGACGCTCGATCATAATCCATTGCGGACTTTTTTTATTTTTCGATGCATGGTCTATTGCTATTTTTAAATTATCACGATTATTTAATCTTTCTTCTTCGAGGAATGAATCAGGAACTTTTTCGCTGGAGTCTAAATAATTTAGCAAACCAACGGGCTATACAAGATAATATATAAATAACATAAGTTTTGTAAACAATATAAATGCATGAAAGCGAATACAAAAGTTAGTAATTGCTTTAATTATAAGATAATAGTTTTACCATAATTCGTTTTAATAATCCCATAGCAGTAGGATGTCCTGTCACCCATAATCCTACTAAATGTCTACATAGTTGTCTATGCGTTAGAAGTCTACTGTCACTGCCAATAGTAAAGAGGCTATATAAAAGGTGCCTTGGTAAAGCTCCTTCGGCAAGAGCTAATTCTTGCATTTTTGCAGCCACTTCAGGTGCACCTTCTTCTATGATCGCTCTCATTATCAAACCAGCCCCTTTTACAATAGCCAATGATGGATGTTGGAATAATTTGAAAAGTGATCTACCTCTTGCTGCAACCATTTCTAAAAGGTTGTCGAAATGTTTGCCATCCGTGGTTTCACTGTATGGTACACATAATGCAAAAGTTAATAGATCAAGCATGGCAGAAACTACTAAAGCACCAGTGCCATGATTCTGAAATGTTCAAAGTATATACTTGAAGTTTCTTTTTAAATTTCAAGACTAAACAAGATACGTAACATATATGTATATATATTTTTATATATAAATATATACAATACATATATATTGAAGTACTTACAATATGGTTAATCCACATTTCAAGTAAACTTTCTAAAAATTTGTTACTACTAAGCAGACTGCTTTTGTTTAATTGTTCTTGCCTTAGGTCACAATCATCGTGCATTGGTTGCATAAGTGCACAGATGCAATCTATAGCAGCCTGCGTAACGCCACAATCTTGTCTTTTTAATGCCTTTACAACTCTATTACCGATAGCTTCTCTAAATCCAGGTAAAGAGGTGAACGCATTGAATCCAACTTTACTTGCTACCAATCTTCGTATGGCATGAAACTGTGCTTCGATCTCATCATTCCCTTCTAGTTCTTTATTGACTAACGTGCTTAAGGCAGCAAGTATAATTTTCTCTTTATTCTCAGTAAAAAGTCCCTGTAAGTAGTTATTCATCACACTGTACAGTTGAAGCTGTAAGCTTGGTACAGTCCATTCAAGCGGTGTACCATCCTGAACAAAGGGAAAAAATCTCAGTTTGCATGTTTTCTATGAATGATATCAGACAGAAATACCTCAGTTCAATTTTTTTAATGATGTCACAGAGATATTTATGTTTCTAGTAATAGCAGTTTCCCATTACAAATTATTTAGTACCCATGTCATTATCGATATAGGCATAGGTTCCGAGATATTTCCGTCTTGATCAATTGTAACCGCTTCAATGTACTGTAGGCCTATATTGTTAGTTTAAATATTAAGACAAACTGTTTACTGAGAAATATCTTAATTATAATTATCAATATAAATGTTCTCTTACATCTTGAGTAATCGAATAATTGAGACCACTATATGGTATATTGGCATTAAATCTTTCCAGAATTTCTGCAAAAGTACGTCCTCCTGGTGGTTGTTGTAAAAATTTAACATGAGATATTTCTACTTCTTCATCAACGGGTAAATTAAGAGGTCCTAGCCTCTTTCCCCTTGCAATTGGATACATTCTTACATGAGCATCTCTATTTCCAGATGCTCTTACACCGTCAAGTAACGAAGCTAACAAAGAATCTCTGTCTGTTGCAGTATAACTTCTTGTTTGTCCATTTAAATATTGTATCGTAAATAATTGTGGATTTGCATTATCACGAATAAGGGCAAAAATATCTGACAGTGGTCTTAGTGTACAAATATTATACGTCTGTGGGTCCCTTTCCAATAAACAACTGTCGGAAAGACAAAGCGTTCTTTTTTGTGGTTCTGAATGTCTGGGTGAAATTTTATGAACAGTAAATTCTGAACCGCTTGTAATATGTTCATCATTACTAAATTTCCCTAATCTTTGTGCAATAAAATCATCTAATTTTATTGGTTCCTTTAAAACTTTTATGTTAATTCCTAAATTATTTATTGCTGATTCCAATAGCTTCTTTTTTATTTCCTCCATATGAGTAGATGCAAAAAGATGTAAACGTCCAAATCCACCACAAACAATCACAAATCCATTAGGATAATCTTTCATTGTTGCAATGCCTTCAAAATCTTTATAACAATAACTGGAGAGTACCATGTTCGTTGCAGGATCCAGTTGATCAAGACTGTATGGAGTTACTTCTAATACTACTGGTAATCTTGTATCGGACCAATGACATTTATAAGCTTGATATCTCTATAAATAAGGAAGATATCGCACTACTAAGTAAGTTTATTAATATTCAGTTGTAATTTTTATTAATTATAGTATGCCATTTGGAAATCTTTAATTTTCGCTATATGAAACATCACATACTAACATAACAGGGTGAGTAATGTATGTTCATCAAAAAAATTATATATATGTATATACTTATATATGTATTCACAATGATAAAAAACTGATAGTAAATGATACTATCTCATATGTAGGTATATCAATGACCATATGGCTAAAAAGTATAGGAAAACACATACAGAACCGATGACTCACCAGAATTTCTTTTGGTTTCTCTGCAAACTGATTTCTATATTTCAGTGCTTCTGTTAACAAATGTGCCCTATGTTCAGAACTAAATTTCATTGTATCAACTTTACGTTCTTTGCGCATAGTTATACTAAATTCATAGGAACCCAACTGATGCTTGTTTGTAGGTTGTACACTAATAAAATCAGAGTATTCCCATTTATTAGTGACCTCTAAGGTCCCAGGATTATATGTCGTAATACCCATGGATCCAATGGAAAAAATACGTTTGTACCTAATATAAATTTCATAATAATTTATATTTATATGCATTTCCAATTAAAAGAAGTTAAACATTCAAAAATATAATCTTTCAATAGTTTCATCAATTATTATATCGTATAATCTTTGTCAAATATTTAAATATTAATAACATAGTTAACATTTTATAAAATGCTACCTTATCTGAATATGATAGAATAGATATAATGTACAAAATATACATGCTAACAAAGTTTTGTAAAATGGATTATAAAAACTAATTTGTCTAAACTGTCATATAATTTAATTGAAAGAACGAATATTGAAAACAATCTCTACGAAATAATAGAAAATAAATCTAACAATCTAAATTCTACTATAGACTTACTTTCCCTTCCATGAATGTTTGGTGACCAGAAAGCATGCAACATCCTGGTTATCCTTTAATGGCATCATTGTCTCATGTCCTGAAGATGCAACAAAGATACAGTTTTAAATAATATTTTAACAAAACACTGCCCAATACTTGCATCTGCCAAGTAGTATTAGAGAACATTCGCAAAAGGAATAAAAAAAACCGTATGTGAGTCTTTATGTTATAATACGAATATGCAACACGTAAGGTCAATTAAATTTTAGTAATTATTGATAATAATTAAACTGCGCGAACTAATGAAATCTTAACGCGTTCTCTTGCGCTTTCAACAAACAAATGTCATTCTCAAGACTTCCGTTGGCCTGGGAGCAGCCATCTTGAATCAGGGGTGTAACAAACAGCTGTTTCTAGATGTCGCTACATATGTTCCATTAAAATTCGTCCAGATTCATTGTTAACCAAGTTAAAGTAAATATGCGAACGAATTGCATTTAATTCTAAAAACATTTTATTGTTATCGTTTATTTCAACTTTATACAAAAGTTTGTATAATTTGTAAATACTGCTTTTAATGTTTATTATTAGAAAATAATATTTATTTGTCCGGTTTTATTATTAACTAATTTAAGTAAATATCCAAGCAAATTGCATTTGATTTTGAAATGATTTTATTGTTATCGTTTATTTCGACATTATAACATTAGGCATTGCTCTTAATGATCTTACTATTAGAAAATAATATTTCTACTCGTATAATTGTAATTTTATAAGACTTTGTTTGCAGTATATCTGATTCTTATTGCAGCGAAGAAAAAGAGAAAAGGATGATGGATCATGGTACGCAAAGCGAAAGCGATGAAGGAGAAATAAAATCTGATTTTGGAGAAGATTTAGATGAAGAATTGCAATCCTTACCACATGTATTACAACTTATCCGTAAAATGCGTGAGAATATCAAGTGGCAACGTAAAAAGATAGAAAAATTACGTAATAAATTACAAGAACAGGTATATGTAACATAATGATAATGTCTTAAAAGTAATCTATCTTATCGCTTACTTACTAATATTGTTTTTTTTTTGTAGAAAAATCGAAATCAAATGCGGAATAAGAGTTTCATAGAATACGGTACTCAAACAGATCCTTTAGAATGCGAAAACAAATCTTTAACATTAAATTGGGATTTAAGTAATAATACAAAATCAAATAGTCTTGTTGAGCAAGTAAAGCAAGTAGCAGAATCTGCTTTATTGCAGAATGGTTTTGTATATGAGGAAACTTCTGGATTATATTACGATTATAGTACAGGATATTATTATGACGCTGTCAGTTATTATTGTATAAAGTCATATTAATATTTAATTACATAATTACATATATTAAATATATATTTTATAGAAACAAGGACTTTATTATGATGGAAATTATGGATTATATTATTATTACGATGAAAGCAGTAAAACATTCAAGTTTCACAGCCATGCGCATGCAGTTGAGAATAATATTGCACATTCCCAAGAAATCAAAATGGAAGAAAAATCAGATAGCAAAAAGGCAAACAAGGTTAATAAATAATTTAAGAACAATGGTATAGATATAAAAATATGAGAGTAAAAATTGTAAAAATGTAAAAGTTACCATCTGCTGTATATATTTAACTTTTATTTGGTTTCAGGTTTCGGATGAGATAAATGAGTTAATAAGTGGACTTTCAAATATAAAAATTGAAAGATACAAACGTCATGCTCTAGGTAATCATCTTAAGCTTTTAATATGCACACATATCTCTCTTGTAGGATACGGTGAAAAAACGCAAACTCGCTCAAGATGGAGAGAAGTTAAGAGATGAGTCTGAAGAGGGTGAATGCTCGGATAGCGATAGTGAACAGAGCTCTTGTAACATTACACCAGAATTGTCCACTAATAGTGAGACTGACAATGAGGAAGAACGAGGTTGAATTATTATTCGTTTTTTTTATTTTTTATTTTATCGGTTTTCGTATTATGTTTAAATATGTAGAATCAGGTATGGAGATAGCGAAAAAAAGTTGATTATAGATTTTGTTAGTGAGTATATTGTGGAACTATCAGTATGACCAAAAAAACGAATAAGTATTTCTTAAAAATTAAAAAAATTATAAAATCAAAAGAAACTTCTTAAAGGCTAGTAAAGTAGGAATAACGTCTTAATGGCTAGTAAAAATAACATCTTAAACGACTAGTAAAGTAACGTCTTAAACATCCTTTCGTCTGGTCGATCGGCTTATAATTGACTCTCTTGTCTTTCTTTTTTTTTCTTTATCTTTGTCACAACGGCTTTGCTGCGTTGTTCCACGTGCCAATTAAACACACACACACACACACACATACACGCACATTCATATTCACCTAACAAAACGAATCACTGCACCGCACGTGCCATTGCTTATCGACTGCGACCCGACAAAAGGAGAGTTTCATGTTTCGTCTCCACAAATATATTTACTAATTGTAAGATACAGATAATAATTTTATTTAGTCAAAAAATTATCATTCAATTTATAGTAATAAATAATTATATATAAATATAAATGTATTTTTTGTTTTCACACAGATATAGCAAAGACGTATCCACCATGTATGAGAATCATAGTCAAAGAAACAAGCCTTCCAAAATTAAAAGTTGGCTCGCTCTTCTTCGTATCATACACAGGTGGTTCAATGGGTAAAGAAGGAGATCATTCTGTTATAATACCAGATATAAATGTCAGTAAGGTACGTAATAAGTAAGATTTGAAATATTATTTTAAACATACAAGATAACAATCCGATTATATAATATTTATAAAATGATAAATAATTTTAGTATCACGCACGATTCCTCTACAATGAGAAAACGAATTCTTATTGGATAGTAGATTCAGGATCGAGGAATGGTACATATTTAAATGGGAAAAGATTGTCTGTGGCTAAACAAGAGTCAGAGTCATATGAGATAGTACATGGTTCAATAATTCAAGTGGGTAATACAAAATTGTTATGTCATATACATAACGGAAATGAAACATGCGGTCACTGCGAACCAGGATTAGTTCAACACAATGCAAATACAGAAGAAAATGTATTTTCGAGAAAGAATATTCATAAACAAGAATTAAGAAGATTAAAAACAAAGTTTGGAGTAGAAAAAGATAATGCTACGTCTGCCAGTCAATTAGCAACTGGTTATCGGGATAGAGCTCAAGCTCGTAGACAGCGTGTTGGTTCATCAAATCATCATGCCAAAACTGAACAAAGCTCTATCGAAACGTGAGTGAGACGATTAAATGTTACATTAAATTATGAATTAATAATATCATTCTTATTTGCGTATTTTTATCACAGATCGATAGCAAAAGATAATCGAGGATTCAAGTTACTATCTAAAATGGGATGGTCCGAAGGTCGTTCCTTAGGGAAAGATGGCGATGGTAGAACCGAACCGGTAAGTCTTTTTTACTTTTTAAATAAATTGACCCATAAAATAGTGGGGTAAATTAACAAGAGATAAGCGTAAGAATAAATAATCTGAAAATAAATAATACTGGCGACACTAGTTTAATTTAACACGTCGACTGACACTCTAGATTTGCAAGATTTTCTCAGGAGGTTACAAAAGAATAATAAAATATATCATACTTAACTTTTCTAATATAATATATATATATATATATATATTTTTTTTTATAAAAAAATAAAAATATATAAATTTTTAAATAAAAAATTTATAAGTATCCAATAGTAAATTTCTTAATTCATGATATTGTTTAATTATAGCTATGATATTCAAAATATTTTAGCTGTCGATATTCATTTCATTTTAATTCATAATTAAATATTTGACGAGGCAGTCAACGTATTAACAGAAAAATCTAAAGAAAGAAAAAAAAAAAAAAGGAAATTATACTCTTATCTCTATGGAATGTGATAGATAATTAAAAACGAATATAGGTCAGTATGTTAAGCATAAATAACAGTTTAATGTTTCCCTTAATGTAAAATCCTCAAATGCAAAAGATACGATCTAATTTCTTAATACAAAAATTCGCTCCTTCGGTCATGTATCCTCATCACATTTGTAGATCAAATTTAATCTGAACTGTATATTTGTTCTCTCTCTCTCTCTCTCTCTCTCTCTCTCTCTCTCTCCCTCTCCCTCTCTCTCTCTCTCTATCTCCCCCTCCCTCTCTCTCTCTCTCTCTCTCTCTCTCTCTCTCTCTCTCTCTCTCTCT